CTGCTAGTTTCCTGAGAGAGTGAAGAGTTGTTTTTGGAACTAAGTATTGAACTGTTGTAAAGTAACCATAAGCTTCATCTCATTTTTGCAAACGTTACGCTTAAGTGCCTGTATTGTTGAAGTTCACACAAATAAACATCTTTGTTCTTTGTTTATCAACAACTGTCTCAGTGTGCCTCTATGTGAAGAAGTATTCTTAACAAGAAAAGGAAACTGAGTTTCCAGATTGGTGGCAGCGACGTTTTAAAAGAATCTCCTTGTTATTCACCTCAGAGTTCAGAGCCCTGAGTGCAAATCCAGAACATTCCAGCCTACTTAAAACCTCTTGCCAAACCAAAAGCTGAACATTCCTTTTAAGTGTGGTGGTAGCCAGTTGTCACAGTAAATTACCTCAGAATACAGTGTGTTGGAGGCAAAGTCTCTGCAGCCTCCAAGCCTCTAAGTCAGTTTAAATAATAATCTATCACATTTGGTGATACAGCGGTGGGATCTCCAAACTAATGGTGATCCTCTTCATGTATTAGATTCCCCTCTTTGTTATATTGTGCCACTCACTGTTTAAGAAAACTCAGTTTTCATCCAAACTCACAGTGGAGGCTTTTAATTTTGATACATTGTTTTATGTACAGCTATATACATACATCAGGATCCCCTGATGCCCCATCAGTCAATGGCATATGCAGAGGTATACTCGCGACAGATAGCAGCAACAAATGTACATCAAGAAGTAAGATAATCATGACAAGAGAGAGAACACATGCTTCCTGCCCTTTTTATATACCCATTGCTTCTCCTCACCAACAAGAGACAAAAGCAAATGAAGAAACATTTGTCATGCTTGTCTCATAGTCAGCTTCTTTCACCTATCCCTTCAGTTCCACATTGCCACACACTTAACCCTTCAGTAGGTGTGACCACATGTCCATTAGAACAGTATTTTCCAACAGTATTACACAATGGGGTTACTATCAATGCAATCCGATCTAACAATACATTATTTACCTAACAGAATGCTGCCGGACAATGCCTGAATAATGCTTGAGTATAATGGTGTAACAGTTGTGAGAGCAAGATACTCTCAATGTTCTTTGTCCTACAAAATCCCTTTCAAAATAAGAATTTGTTCATTATAAGAATTAAATTCTACCAAGTGTAACCCAAGAGGCAAGAAAACTTGTGCGCCAACTGTGACCGTATCTTGGGAGGTCGGACTTGGTCACGGTGGTCCACTGGAACGTTGATACCAATATATATGTGGGGGGAAGAAAGGAGAGAGTGACTGAGCTCCTCTTTATTATATCTGTTTGTATGAAGTTTTACTTTTTAAAAGTTTGTATGTATCACTTGAGTGTGTAAGCCAATGCTGTAAACTGTATTCAGCTCCAATATGATCTCCAGCCGTCTTCCTTAGAATACATCTTCAATCGAGTAACTGGACACGAGTCTTTAAAGTATTAAATGAACAAAGAAATGTTTATTTATGGATTCTCGGGCACATAAAGCATATTGGTTACACAGTATTTTTCTTCACAGTACTTCTTAGATATTGTTACAATCAGATTTTACTATTATGATAAATACAACTATTACTATATAACTTTCAGAATAGCTTATCTTACACCAACTTGGTTTGATAACTTTCTTCATTTTCAAATATAATTCTTTCTCAGTCTCCTGACTGGGTAACTTATATCCTATATTTCTTTCTTTTTCTCAATAGTTTAACTGTAAATGTATTCTCAAAGAACACTTTTCTCCTCAGTCCCATTGACTGATGACTTATACTCAGATTATCCTTTTATTTACTTCAGTTGTGCCACTGAAGACACATTCAATACTGGGATTTTCTTTCCCCTAGCTCACAGGCTAGATTCTAATTAAAAATGGTTCCTTTAACACTTCAAATATCAGTTCTGAAGACTTTTAACTTAGAATAGGAACCTCCTCACTCCAGCTCTCACATAACCAGAGCCTTCTTTCCTTTAGCTTACCCTAGCTAAAGACTGACGCATGTTTTAAAAATATCCACTCTTCTCCTTTCAATTAGCTCTGCCCCTTTTTCCTCCTTGCTAAACTGCATTTCTACTGCAAGAGGCTATGCTACCGTGGCAACGCATCACTCAGTCAGCTGTAGCCAACTCCTGTCTGCATTATATATATATATATATATATATATATATATATATATATATATATATCGACATTAATAAACACAGTTAAAACTTCCATTAAATTGATTATTCCATTACATCTACGCTCTGATTACATCCTGAATAGATTACTGCAACACACTCTATGTGGGGTTGCCCCTGAAGACTGTTCGGAAGCTTCAATTAGTCCAACGTTCAGCAGCCAGGGAGCGGAGTATCGAAAGGGCACAACGCCCTTGCTATGCCAGCTCACCTGGCTGCCTATTAGCTTGCGAGCACTATTCAAAGTGCTTGCTTTAGCCTATAAAGCCTTTAACGGTTCTGGCCCAGTTTACCTGTCCAAACGTATTTCCCTCTACAAACCACCTAGGACCTTAAGATCATCTAGGGAGGCCCTGCTCTAAGTCCCTCCACCATCGCAATCACATTTGGTAGAAGGAGAGACTGGGCCCTCTCTGTGGTGGCCCCTCAGCTATGGAGATCAGATCTACTCCATCACTTCTGACCTTCTGGAAAAAAGTGAAATCCTGGCTGTTGTTGTGGCTCAGTCTGAGCCTGAGCTTTCTGAACCTGCTCAGAACGAGAAGGATGATGGGATTTTTTATCATGTTCAGACAGTCAAATGAGGCAGACAGTGTTGATTCTGAGGAAGAGATAGCATTTCTGTACCCCAGAGAAAGGAACGTGTTTTCTGATAAAGATAGTGAAACTTTGGTGCTCCAGGTGGAGATTCCTTCTGAGAGCGCTGGGCCTCCTGTTTCCCAGGGTGACAAGGCCCGGCTGGGCAAAGATAATGAGGTAACCAGCCTTGAAGATAGTAGTGGAGATTTGATCAGAGAAGACCGGTTGCAATTAAGAGTTCAAAGAAGCACACGCCTTGCCAACAAGCGTGAAGCTAGAGGTCAATGTAATGCTTTCATGTTGAGAAAACTTATTTAATACTTTGAGCGAAAGGCATTCGCTGTCAGTCAAATGTGGCTTCTATCCAGTTAACTTCTGTGAAATTACCTTGGCTTTTGCGGAAAGCTCCTGGCTCTTTGGGACTTTGATTTTGATCCTGATTTCTTGGAGACCTTGTCTTGCTGCCATGGATGCTTGTTTAACCAATGCTTAAGGTCTATGCTTCATGTTATTTGCCTTTGGAACCTGGATGTCTTGCCTTTGCATTTAAGACTCTGTTTTGCTCAGTGAACTTTACTCCTTTATTTCCCTGTTTTGATTTTGCTTTTTTCTCAATAAAGTACAAAATCTACAACCTTGGTGTGTGGTGGTGTCTTGAGCAAGGTGGATCTATCCTGAGTTGCGACAGCTGTGGGATCAGGCGTTCACGGATTAGACTTATTTGCTGGCAAAGATACGGTTTTAATGGACTATGATGGACTGTTTTTAGGATGATGACTAAAATTGGCGAATTGTTTTAATGATTTTTATTGTTTTATTATAATATGTATACTTATGCTTGTTTTTACCCTGTTGTTGGCACTGTGCTGTGCTGGTTGGTAGCCACCCTGAGTCCCTCTGTGGAGGTTGAGATTGGATGGAATATAAATGCCCTAAATAAATAATAAATAACTGCAATTACAGTCAGTTCCAAGACTGGCTGTTCCATATATAAGTATTTAAACAATAGCTGCATGTTCCTTTGAGATCTCCTCCTAAATCAAGGATATCAATGTATGCTTTTTCCCAAAAAGACAAAAACTACATGAGTCAGTCTTTAGCTAGGGAGCTAAAGGGAAGAGACTCATCTCCAGAGCCCCTTCTTTTGTGTGGCATCATTCAGGCAAAGGCAAAGGAGGAAAGAATCTGAAATGATTAGGAAAGGTGCCTACATAATGTGCTTCTAATCGAAATGATGGACTTAGCATTTGGTAAGGAACCAGCTTGATAATGTCTGGGTGATACTGGAAAATAGTGCTGCAAAGAATTGTGACATTCTTTTTTTTGAAATAATTCAGTTTTTTGTTTTTAAAGGAAAAATAATGCAAAGAAACAGTACAAAAGCGGGGAAGGATAGGGACTATAAAAGGATATAATATGACTTATGGAACCATGTTAGTTTTAGTTCTATACATAAATCTATTGTATCATCACAGACATAGAGGAGGGGGGTTATCATTATGCATATTATTTTGTAAAAGAAGAAAGTGAATTAAAAGGGGAGAAAAATCCAACTTTAACATATTTTCTGAAAAAAGTTGTGACATTCTTACCCCAGTGTCCTTAGTCCTCCAAAATCTCTTTCAGAATAAGGATTTGGGCATCTTTGATTGAGTTTATGTATCTTGGAATGCTGTCTTTCTCTTCTCTCACTGCCTTCTAGCTTACAAAAAATCATCTTTTCTAGTTAGTTATGTCTTCCACTGATGACCAAGGTAATCTCACTATTTTTGACTTTTAGGGAATGTTCAAGTTTGATTTGTTCTAGGATCCATTTATTTGTTTATTTTTAGCAGGGCACGATATCCATAGGAACTCTTGTCCAAAACCACATTTCATATGATTTGATTTTCTTTTTATCTGTTTTTCTCACTGTCCAGATCACTACCATACAAAGAAATGAGAAATAAGATTGCATGGACAATCTTAACTTTATTATTCAATTGTATAACATTACACTTTAGGATCTTGTCTGGTTCATTCCTAGCTGTCCTTCCAAGTCCTAGTCCTGTTTCTCTTGATTCTTCTATTTCAGGTACATAAGATGGAAGGATCTGAGCTGAGCAAACTTATGAACAAACTTTGGTCATAAGGAAATTGACCCTTAAAATATCCTGCATATTTCACCATGGATGCAATAATGACATAAGTCAGATAATTTCTGGTAGCCTCGAAGGAGTTTTCTTTTGCTCTTCCTCTCCTATATTTCACCATGGATACAATAATGACACAAGTCAGGTATTTTATGGCCACCTTGATACTCCTGTATCCTCTGCATGGGGACATTGCTTAGAGCAACATGTCTATATACAGGGTAGCCAGCAGAATGAGCTCTCATGCTTAGTGCCCTTTCTATCACAGAAAAATAATGCTTTCCACGGTGTGAGGGCAGGGTGTAGGCAAGTGCTATTGCTCCAGCATGGTTCATTATATTCCAGCTGATGAGTTGACCATTGGGATCCAAGATGCAGAAACTGAAGAAAGCCTGCACCAGGCTGGCTATGTACCTACGACTTTGTTCATTGCCTCCGTAGTCCCATGTTTCATTCACCAGGTCAACATGAGAGGCATTCAGGGTGGACACTGTGAAGCTGGGATCTAGCCTGTAAGAATAATAATAATAATAATAATAATAATAATAATAATAATAATAATAATAGCATGCAGTAGTACAACTGCTTCAAGTGCAAAAGAGAAAGAGGGAATACTGTAAAAATACAATGCAGAGCAGAAGACAAAACTGGAAAAAGAAGGCTCTCCACGGACAGTTCCTGGGAAAAAATGAGAGCAAAATAGACAAAGGAAAAACATGGATGTGGCTCACAAATGGAACCTTGAAAAAGGAGACAGAGGACCTGATTCTGGCAGTCCAAAAACAAGCCATTAGAACAAATGCCATCAAAGTCAAAATTGAAAAGTCAACGACAGATCCCAAGTGTAGACTCTGCAAGGAAGCAGAAGAAACAATAGATCACATCCTCAGCTGCTGCAAGAAGATTGCGCAGACAGACTACAAGCAGAGGCATAACACCTTTGCTCAGATGATTCATTGGAAGTTGTGCCACAAATATCATCTGCCTGCAACAAAGAACTGACAAAGCCTGAAAAGGTTACAGAAAATGAACACTGGGACTTCCGAATTCAGACTGACAGAGTTTTGGAGCACATTAAAACATCCAGGCAATCCCTGGGCAATGTCCTTGCAAACTGCCAATTCTCTCACACCAGAAGCGACTTGCAATATCTCAAGCCACTCCTGACATGACAAAAAAATCTTGCTGTGTTTCAAATAATAATAATAACTTTATTTTTCTTTCCTGCCCTATCTCCCAAAAGGGAGTCAGCACAGTTTACAACAATTTGCGGCAGGCTGCCTGGGCTAAAGTACGTCTCCGTTAGCTGAGTCAGTTAACAACGTGCTAATTTTCCTCCTCCCCATATGCTTGAGTACATAGGTAAGTTTTTAACAGCTTCTTAAAGGAGAGGAGGGAAGGGGCAGTTTTCAACAGAAATGAAGCAAGAATGCAAATTGATAGACTGACTCAGTCTAAAATGGACCAGCCCCATCGTTCCCTCTTTGTTTTAAGACCTCTTAAAAATGTCCAAGAAGAGAAAATAAATTATCCAGCCATTTCTCTGCACCCAGCCCTCTCCTGGTGTGCAGAAATGACATATCAGGAGAAGGGAGATGAAGAACGATTTCCTCCTTTCCCCCTTCTCCTGGCGAATGTTTCTATGTGCTAGGAGAGGGCTGGCAGCAGGGAAATGGTGGCCAGGTGTGTTATTTTCTATTTTTTGGATGTTCCAATGGGTTTGAGGGAGAGGATGTAGGTGTCTGGGTGTTCTTCCGGAAGGTTTTGGGAGGACATCTAGATACCACCCCCCCACCCCCCCACCAAAAGCACAAGTTTTTCTAGCCAGTGTGGGGACAGAAGTCCGCCCCAACCCGGGTTTATTAGACTTCGGTAGGAGCGGACTTTTGCCCTGTGTGGAACCAGTCTCACAGGTCACTCTTGATGGACTTTTATTCATCTGTAGACTTTTCCATGGATGAAGCCTGGACTCAGGCATGTAACCAGGGGGGGCTTGAGGGGCTTCAGCCCCCCCTCCCGAAATTCTCAGGGTGGTCCACGAGAAGGCCTTACTGGTACATTATTTTAACTGTTATGTTCATTCATATCATGATCTGATCACTAATCATATAGTGCAGTTCAAAAGTTGATTGTAATACAGTGTTGTTTGTCATGATATCTGCTCATAAACCGAAAGAATATTTACTGTAATGTACTGGGTTATTGAAATGAGACAGTAGTTATGTAATTCACTGTTAATGTACATTCCCATTTAAAACATTTTGCTTGATTCTTCATATTAATTTTGGCCCAACAGTCCAATGCACGCTGACCCTATCCTCTGGAATATTAGCTAGGCTTCCTAACTGGATGTCGTCTGCAAATTCAGATGTTCCATCATCTAGATTGTTTATACATACAGTGAACAACACTGGATCCAGGACAACTAATCACTTTTATGTAGGCTGCTATGGATACCTTCCTTATGTTTGGGCATATGTTCTAGGAAGACACTGTTCAAGTGTTTAGTCCCACTTATGGGTCTGCAGTAAATTACGTAGACTTGTAATATATATTAAATCTTATTTACCAGGCAGTGTTAGGAGTTCAAGTTCATTGTGTTTATTTCCAAGCTCTATTCTTTGGTGTGTAGGACTATTTGTCATTCTCTTCTGCAGTGATTTTGTTATTGTTTTTTTCTGTCTGTCATAGAATCATAGAGTTGGAAGAGACCTTGTGGGCCATCCAATCCAACTGCCAAGAAGCAGGAAAATCACATTCAAAGCACCCCCAACAGATGGCCATCCAGTCTCTGTTTAAAAGCCTCCAAAGAAGAAAACTCCACCACACTCTGGGACAGAGAGTTCCACTGCTGAACAGCTCTCACAGTTAGGAAGTTCTCCCTAATGTGAAGGATGGCACTATAATATGCTGCTGAGAAAGATAATATATATCAAAGTTCTACTCTGAAACCAAAATGTTATGCTTTAGCCCTGGTTGTAGCCATGGGATGAACTAAAAAGACTATTTAAGATTGCAATGGGCAGATTAGGAATTTCCCAAGTGGGAGCAACCCAGGTATCTCAGTGTCCCAAAAATATCAAAAATTATGTTCTCTATTTTTCTGTAACAACATGGATACTCACCAGTACTCAGGCATTTTATTTGGGTCAGGGGTCAGAAAGGTAATGTAGGATAATGGTGTCAGTGGCACATTCTTGATGGTGACAGCTTCTTGGGAGACTTGAAGTATACCCTGCTGGTTCCCTGAAGAGCCATAAAATACTTTGTCAGCAAGTGTGTGATGTGTGTGCGTCTATGTGTGTCTATAATAGAGTGTTGGTAGATTCTGTTAAATGGAGGATTTCCAACACGCACAACTAGGTATCTGAGCACGTCACTCAGCAGTATTTGGGGAGTGTCAAATGGAGTATCTAGAGCAGCAGTTCCCAATCCTATTTTGGCCATGTCCCACCTAAGCATCTCTAAAATCCTGCCCCAGCCACCAGTGACATATAATTCCTATTATTCAAAGAGCAAACTCCCATTCATGTGTTAGTAATTTGGTGGTATGTTTCAAATTCTTTTGTCAAAACCAGTTGTGGGTTTTTTGACATTATCATTGACAACATTTGTTAATGGTTAATGATCAGGAATTTTCCTTCTAATAATAATAATGATAATAGTAATAACTTTCTTTATATCATGCCCCTTCTCCCCAAGGGGACTTGGAGTGGCTTACAACATGGAAAAACATTATATAATAATAATAATAATAATAATAATAATAATAATAATAATATTAAAAACAAAAACATGTAACTTAAAAATATCATCCATAAATAAAATAGGTAATAATTATGTCATATAATACAGTCTATACTCATCGCCTATTCAAAAGATTATATTCCTGAAAAAATGACACAAGTATTTTGAGTAGCCTAGAAAAATGCACGGGAATGGATGGTGTGTGTGTGTAAACATAATTTCCATCCTTTCCTTATTATTCTTGTCCTCTTTTCCTTTAGGAACCCCTGATCCCCTAATAATCTGGTTTCCCCCTATTTGCAATTGTTATACACTTGTGTATCTTAACCTAATTTGTATTTTAAAACACCTAATGTTTGTGGCACTGTGATACTTAGGCTGGACTATTGTAACGCCTTGTATGTTGGCCTTCCTATTTCTACGACCCGAAAGCTCCGTATTGTCCAGAATGCTGCAGCCAGGTTACTCACAAAAATGCCCATGAAATGCCATATAACACCAGTGCTGCGGCATCTACACTGGCTCCCAATTGAGTATCGTGGTTTGTGGTCCTGACCTTTAAAACTTTATATGGCCAGGGTCCATTGTATCTTAGAGACTGTCTCTCCTTCTATCATCATCGGAGGTCGCCACGACCATCCCAACGCAATCTGCTCTATATACCGGGTCCTAGGGAAGTGCACTTGGAAAGCACCAGACGCAGGGCCTTCTCTATTTCTGCCCCTGCCTTGGGGAATTCCTTGCTTCCCTATTTGAGAGCCATGCGCGACTTGGGGCGTTTTGTCCTGGCGCTTAAGACCTGGCTCTTTACTGGAGCATTTGACTCATGTTAATTTTAATATTTGTATGTATGTGTTTTATCCTGTGTAATTTCTGCAGTGTAAATCGCCTGGAGCATCTCGGATGGAGGGCGATTAATAAGTAATTAAAGATGAGATGAGATACTTATGTAATTATTGTATATGTGGGCGTATATACCGTATTGTTCCATTTGATTAAGCTGCAGACCTATGAAAATATAAAAAGTCTTCTTAACTGTTCCCTCAGAAAGAAGGAACTGACAACTACCTTGGATATGTAACCTTTGGGCCCAATTGATAGCATCTGTGTCCAGCGCCAGAGTTCGATACGCATCAAGATCATGGTAAAATGCTGCATATGCATTAACATGGGAATTTGAGTCATCTGAGGCAACCTAGAAAAGAAAGACACGGATTTCCACAGTATTTTGTTTAATAACTGTCCTGTAGTTTCTAAAATGAATCCATATTCTACATTGCGTACTTGGTTTCAAATGAGTAACTAAGAAATGCCTCCTGGCCTGGCCTGATCTCACACCCCCAAGTCTACTTTACAACTGCACCAAGAGATGGTAATCTGTTCAAATGGTGATTTGGACAGTTGAGGACTATATTTGCACCTCTGCTCCCACCAGCATGTGAGGCTATGACAAAAGTTCTGGTTTTTGCAGCTATACTTGGTGGTGATAATGGATTGGAAAAGTAACTTTGCTATGCCTGATAACCAGTCGAAATGCATACCTTGATACAACATTACATTGTCATTTTCATATATTCAGTAACATTACATTAGTAAATTAATTAAGATTTTAGGTAACAGTAGTTCAGAATGCATATTAGATCTCCTGCATTTTAAGAATTACCAAAAGTAATCCCCCTTCAGCCCCCAGTTCCTTGCTAGAATGTCATATAGAGTGTGTTCTGTAAGATGCCCCAAGGTTGATACCTTTCTGTGTGGCCGGGTGAGGACCGCTTTGAAATTGGGCCAGGTGTCCACAATCACCTCATGACCAAGTGGGTTCCCACGGTTTATGTTCATTACTGTTCCATGGACCTGTCAAAAATTGGATGTCAGAACCGGTGCTGCCGTGTAAACAAAGGAGACCAAAGAATGGAGAGAGGATCTGAATCTGATTTTGACCTCCTGTATTGATATAAACATGTCAAAGTGGATGGATCTTCCTCACAGCCAGCTGATGGACAAAACTGAGAATTCATAGACCCATTCCAAGCCTAGATTTGCATTCACAAATGCAAGCATGCACACACATGGAAAATATAACATCCAGAGTTTTCCTCTGATGTCAGATGGGAAAGCTAGAAGTGCTGGCAGATATCTGCTCAGCTGCTCAGACAGTCTCGCAGTTACCTGGGGAGAGAAAGGTGGTATGTAAATACAGTAAATAAGTAAATAAATACCCCAATTGCTTGAGGGAGGCACTTCTTCAGCATCCCCTCCAGCATCTGCAATTTGGAAGGACAGGAGAGAAGCAACATTGCTTGAGAGGCAGAGGCCGATGGACAGGTCCCGGAAGAAATAAAATGCATATCAAGCACCTAAGGAAAGGGAGATACCAGTTCTGTTAGCCCTAAACTGAGAAGCTTTACATATCTTTCATTCAGGAAAGAAACTTGGTATATATTGGTATATCCAGCAAAGGAACAGAAATAAGGCCTCCTTTTCATTTGACTGCTCAAGAGAGGGAATGGCATACCTATATGAACCAATGCAGCCCTGTCACACAGGCAGCTACTCACTGGTGTTGATCAGCTTTCCTTTTATTTAGGAATAAAAAGCTGAAGCAATGGCTCTTCTTTCCCTGTGTCTCATCCAGCCAAGTCTCTGCGCAGAGCTGCTTTGTTTTAAAACAGGTGCCAGGAGTGGGGTCGGAGGGTCGTTGATGTGTGTAAATGTATACTAGAACGAATGAAACATTAACAGAGCTTTTTTGAACTATAGCTATGGATATTAGTGGATGAGATCCATATAACACAGAATAGTTGGCTGTATCCCTCAATATACGTGAAATGGTTGTATTTCTGAAGGATGGGAGAGAGGTGACTATCGAATGGGATGTTTCTGATTTCTGCAGTGTCTCCTATCAGGACAGATTTAGTATTTGGTAGGAATGTGTCAAGAAACGTCTGGATAGGTGTATGATTTATAGTTTTATCCTTCACAGTCATGCTCTCTCTAAATACACTCCGCACCAGACTGATTGTTTCAGAGGCAAGCTTTTAAAATCAACCAAAAAATAGCAGATTCCTTTATCAGCTGTCAGTAGAAATTTTACTGCATAGCCTGACATTGTGCCACTCACTGTTTAAGAAAACCTTTTTACTCAGTTTTCATCCAAACTCACAGTGGAGGCTTTTAATCTTGATATGTTGTTTTATGTACAGCTATATCCCCTGATGTCCCATCAGTCAATGGAATATGCTGAGATATACTTACGACAGATACCAGCAACAGATGTACATCAAAAAGCAAGTTAATAATGGCAAGAGAGAGAACACATGCTTGCTGCCCTATTTTATACCCATTGCTTCTCCTCATCAACCAGGGACAAAAGCAAATGATGTAAACTTTGCTATGCCTATCACATGGTTGTAACTCTGCTTCCTTTGCCTGTCCCTTCAGTTTCATGTCACCACACACTTAACCCTTCAGTAGGTGTGTAACCCCATGTCCATTAGAACAGTATTTTCCAACAGTATTGCACAACGGGGCTACAATCAGTGTAATCCTATCTAACAGTGCATTATTTAATGTATTGTCGAAGGTTTTCATGGCCAGAATCACTGTGTTGCTGTAGATTTTTCAGGCTGTATGGCCATGTTCTAGAAGCATTCTCTCCTGATGTTTTGCAACCTCTGAGGATGCCTGCCACAGATGCAGGCGAAACGTCAGGAGAAAATGCTTCTTGAACATGGCCATACAGCCCAAAAAACCCACAACAACCCAGTATATTATTTACATAAAAGAATGTAGCCCGATAATGTCTGAGCGATGCTGGAGTATAATGGTGTAAAGAGCTGTGACAGCAAGGTACTCTCAATGTTCTTTGTTCTGCAAAATCCCTTTCAAAATAAGAATATATTTATTTATTGTTTTATTTATGATATTTCTATTCCGCCTTTCTCGAACCCGAAGGTGACGCAAGGCGACTTACAACCAGGCAGACATTCGATGCCTTAACGATATACACTTAAAAACATTTAAAACAAAATTAATAAACCAGTGCCTTCACTGTCATTCTCATTGTCCAAACACATTTTCTGGGCCATTCCAATATTCATTACCACATTGTTCCATGTTTGTCTATTGCACTACGTTTCCAAAGGCTTGTTTGAAACACCATGTCTTCACTTTTCTATGAAAGGTCAGGTGGGAGGGGGGTGATCTAATATTCCTATGGAGAGAATTCCACAGCTGGGAGGCCAACAGAAAGTCCTGTCTTTTATCCCATTCGTGCCTGCAAAGAAGGTGGGATCAAGAGCAGTGTCTCCCCAGACAATCTTAAGCTCCTAGATTGTTCATAGGAAGAGATAAGTTTGGACAGGTAAGCTGGGCCAGAACAATTTTGGACTTTATAGGCTGAAGCCAGCACTTTGAATTATGCTCAGTAGCAGACTGGCAGCCAGTGGAACTGGCGTAAAAGAGGGGTTGTACGATCCCTGAACCCTGCTCCAATAAGCAACGTAGCTGCTGTCAGTTCGACTAACTGAAGCTTCCGAGCAGTCTTCAAAGGCGATCCCACGTAGAGTGTGTTGCAGTAATCTATTCAGGATGTAACAAGAGTGTGGTTCACCATGGCCAAGTCAGACTTCCCAAGATACGGGTGCAACTGCTGCACAAGTTTTAGTTGTGCAAAAGCTCCTCTGACCACCACTGAGACCTGGGGTTCCAGGCTCAGTGATGAGTCCAGGGGAGCGTAACCCCATCCAGAATAGGATGGGCCTTGCGACTGACCAGGAGGACCTCTGTCTTGTCTGGATTCAATTTCAATTTGTTCACTCTCATCCAGATCATCACAGCTCTCAAGCACCAGTTCAGGATCTGGACAGCCTTCTAAGTAGCAGGTGGGAAGGAGTGATAGAGTTGAACATCACCTGCTTACAGATGACACCAAGCTCCAAAACTCTGGATGAGCTCCCCCAATGACTTCATGTAGATGTTAAACAAGATATGAGACAGTACTGAGCCCTGCGGGACCCCACAGGACAATGTCTGTGGGGCCAAGCAGGTGTCCCCCAGCAATACCTTCTGGGCACGACCCTCCAGGAAGAACTGGAGCCACTGCAAAATAGTAACTCCAAGGCCCATTCCTGCAAGGTGTCTCAAAAAGATACCATGGTCAATAGTATTGAAGGCTGCTGAGAGGTCCAGCAGAACCAACAAGGTCACACTTCCTCTGCCCAGTTCCTGGCGTTGATCATCCACTAAGGTGACCAAGGCTGTCTTGGTACCATGTTCCGGTCCAAAGCCAGACTGCACTGGATCTAAATAATTTGTTCAATACACTTGAACTTCTGCCAAGTGTAACCCAAGAGGCAAGTAAATTGCAATTACAGTCAGTACCATGACTGGCTGTTCCATATATAAGTGTTTAAACAAAAGCTGCAGGTTCTCTGAGATCTCCTCCTAAATCAGGGATGTCAACTTACGCCTTTTTCCAAAAGGACGAAAACAACTTTATGCTCATCTTCAGAACCCCTTTTTTGTGTGTGGCTCCATTCAAGCAAAGACAAAGAAGGAAAGAATCTTGGGAATCATACCACATAATAGTGTCCTTGAAGGAATATGAATGTAGCAGGAGGACGTCTTTGGAAGACGTTGAGACTAAAATTCAATAAGCATATTGTTAGAGCAGAAGGGATATACCAGGTGCCAATGTGCTGATGCTGTGAAGGAGGAAGCTGCTTCCTCATTCTGACTTCCTCTATGCAATATGCAGTAGGATCTGGGGGTTTGAGGAGAACATACCTTCAACCACCAATCAGCCATGGGGTTCTGTCCAAGTGCATTATAGCTGCTCTTGCACATCTCTCCCAGCAGCTGACCGGGTCAACTAGGACAGATATACACTTGAGACACCCCCCTCCCCAAAAAAGATGCTCTTATCCTTCTGGGATGATTGGCATTAAATAAGGACATATAGGATACATTTGTTCACAACATCAAAAGATGTACTAAAGTACAAATAAGTACAGATTATGTTGACATATGTCACCTACTACCACCTCATCACACCTCATCACACTTAGTCCCCTGCCCCCAATTTTGCAGGCAATCATTGTAAATTTAGTGGGAGTCACATCTGTGAGCTGCTTTTTTTTTTTTTTTTTTTTTTGCTAAGACAGTCTCACAGTTATCCCAAATGCTTGAAGGAGGCACTTCTTCAGCAACCCCTCCAGCAGCTGCAACTTGGGAAGGGCAGGAGAGGATGAACATTGCTTGGGAGACAGAGGCTGATGGGCAGGTCACAAAAGAAACAGAAAATAGCTCTGTTTTTGAAAGATGCAGGAAAGATGCCTAATGTGCTGGTGATAGAAATGATGGACTTAGCATTTGGTAAGGAACCAGCTTGATGATGTCTGGGTGATACTGGAAAATAGTGCTGCAAAGAGTTGTGACATTCTTTTTTGGAAATAAGTAAGTTTTATTTTGTTTTCAAATGAAAAAAACAATGCAAAGAAACAATACAAAAACAGGGGAAAGAAGGGAGATATGGGGACCATAAAAGGATAATAATAACTTTATTCTTTTACCCCGTCACCATCTCCCCAAATGGACTTGGGACGGCTTACATATGGGACAAAATGTCCACAAGACATAAAACAAAAAAATCCATAAAACAAAGCACATTAAAATAGGATATAATATATAAGTTGCGGAGCTATGTAATTATAGCTCTATTCATAAATCTATTATATTGTCAGAGACGTAGAGGGATGGATTATCATTATATACATTCCTTTATAAAGGAAGGAAGCAGGCATGTAGCCTTCCTTGGGGGGCTTCAGCCCCCCCCCCCCCCCGAAATTCTCATGGTGGTTCGCGAAAAGGCCTTACTGGTGCATTATTAAACTGTTATGTTTATTCATATCATGATCTGATCACCATACTCAATATATCCCATATGCATGGGGGTATTGGGGTAATGATACAAAAGGTTTGCTAGGCTAGACCCTCTTTCACTCAGACTCAGCCCCCCCCACCCCCCCCCCCCCCCCCATTCAGCCCCCCCAAAACAAAATCCTGGCTACGGGCCTGGAAGGAAGTAAAGTAAAAGGAAAAACCATCCAACTCACCTTTTCTGACAAAAGTTGTGACATTCTTACTTCAGTGTCCTTAGTACTGGAAAATCTCTTTCAAAATAAGGATTGGGGCATCTTTGATTGTATCTATGTATCTTGGAATGCTGTCTTCTTCTTTTCTTACCAAAAATTATTATCATTTTTAGTTAGTGATGTTTTCCACTGATATTACCAATGTAGTCTCCCTATTTTTGACTTCTAGGGAAAGTTCAGGTTTGATTTGTTCTCGGATCCATTTATTTGCTTGTTTGGGGTTTTTTTGGCAGGGCACAATGTCCGTAAGAACTCTTCTCTAAAACCACTTTTCATGTGAATTGATTTTCTTTTAATCTGTTTTTTTTTTCACTGTCCAGATCATTACCATACAAAGAAATGAGAAATAAAATTGCATGGACAATGTTAACTTTATTATTCAATTATATAACACTACACTTTAGGATCTTGTCTGGTTCATTCATCGCTGTCCTTCCAAGTCCTAGTCCTATTTCTTTCTTTCTTCTTTTTCAGGTACATAAGATGGAAGAATATAAGTTGAGAAGAAGCCTTCTGAACAAACTTTGATCGTAAGGCACTCTGGTCCCCTGTGAGAACTCTTTGCCACCTATTTTCTTTTACGTAATTCATGATCTCCTAAGTAGTATATTATATATTAACAGTTCTACTGTTCTGTATTAACAATTTGCACAACGTAAAGCATAAAAGCATTTCAGTCTGCTGAAAATAGGTGCAAAGTTCTCAGAAGGAAGAAAACACCTAGCACGTTAATCTGTACATTGCCCCATGTCCTGGTATCCAGAGCAGCAGAAAATAAAACGGACCCATCCTCAATGTGACATCGTTTTGAAATATTTAAACTTGGCTATTGTGTCCCCTCTCAGCCTCCCCTCCCCCAAACTAAAGATACCCCTCTCCATAAGCTGCTTCTCATAGAGCTTGTTTTCCAGACCTTTGATCATTTTGGTCACCCTTCTCTAGACATTTTCCAGTTTGTCAATATTTTTCATGAATGGTGGTGCTATTAACTGACCACAGTAGTCCAGATGAAATATGACCAAAACAGAACAGAGCTGTAGTATAACTTCCCTTCTTGCAGTTTCTCATGTCAATCCTGACACTAAATAAATAAATAACTTCCCTTGATATCAACACTATACTCCTATTGATGTAGCTGAGAATCACATTTGCGTCTTAGCCGCTGTATCATATTGTTGTTTCATGTTCAGTTTATGGTCTACCAAGGCTTGTTCTATACGGGGGAAAAGTGGAAAACACAAGCTTTGCTGGGGGATGGTGTCCAGATGCACATGGACAGCCAGACCCCCTCCCCCCGAAAAACCTTAAAAACTAAAAATTACCTACCCAGCTGCCATTACTCTGCTGCCACCTCTCTTCTGGCATGTAGAAATGATGTGCCAGGAGAAGAGGGGGGGATTTTTCCTCCCCCCCTTCTCCTGGCACGCCAATTTTTAGTTTTTTAGGCTTTTTGGGGAGGAGGTGAGGGCTGTCTTGGGGTTTTCAGGCTCCAGGAGCCCGGAAATCCCAAGAAAGCTGTGTGGATTGGGCCTGGAAGTTGCGTGCCATAATCCCCAGGCCCAATTTACACAAGGCCCACAGCTGGAAAGACCAGGGTTTTCCATGGGTCAAATTTATTTGGCACAAATTAGGATTTTCCTGCTTTGTGCAGAATTAACTCCCTTTTACCAGAGGCGTTGTTTGAACAGCCCAGGTAAAAATTAGAAAGATATAAGATTAAGTTGGCATGACTGTTTTTGAGAACCTGATGTTGACTTTTAGTGACCATGGCATTCCTTTCTTCCATATTGTCTATTTAATAGTCTGCTCTAGAATCTCTCCTAGAACCGATGTCAAGCTGACTGGGTAGTAATTACTTGGATCTTGGAGTAACAGTAATAATAATGATAAATAAACTTTATTTTTACCCCACCACCATCTCCCAAAAGGGACTTGGGGTGGCTTACAGAGCATTCGTAATGTAAAAATACACACGGTGCAATAAAATACAAATACATCAATAGCAAAGGTGAAAACATAATTTATACCATCAATATATGAAATAATAAAACAATAAAAATTAATCAACCCTAAAATAAACATCAATAAAATGCAACAATAATTATAGACATAAAATGAAAAGCAACCAACCCATCTCATAAAGTGTTTTCAGTGAAAAAAACTACTGGGTCTACACATTTTTAAAAAATCTTTTAGGATCTATACCTATTGAAAAGCTTGAATAATGAGCCAAGTTTTTTGATTAGGCCAAAAACATTGGAGGATGGGGGCTAGCTTAATTTCCCTAGGGAGGGTGTTCCAGATCTGGGGGGCCACCACTGAGAAGGCCCTCTCCCTCATCTCCACCAACCGCACTTGTGACAGCGGTCGGACCGAGAGGAGGACCTCCCCAATGGACTCAGAGCCCACACCAGTTCATTAAAAGATATGCTGTCACAAAGATAGGCTGAACCCGAACCATATAGGGCTTTGTAGGTAATAAACTGCACTTTGAATTGGCAGCCAGTGAAGCTGCTTCAATAGAGGCATGGTAGTAAAAGAGCAGATGACAAATGTTAATCTCGATTAATAGTAGAAAATTCTGGATGTACTATTGCAAGATTTTTTTTACAACATCTATACTATTCCTTGTACTTTCTAAATGGTGTGAGAGACATAAGAACCTGAGGATTCATTGCTCATTTTGGTAGTTTTGCTTGCAAGTGAGAAGTAGTTAGGTTACTGTAATTTTTTCCATATAATAAAACGAAACACTCCCCCCTCCCAATAATTCTACACTTCACAAATACAATATCGAGAGCCATAGGACAGAAAGGTATCATCCTATATGTTTATGAAGACAATATACAGTTATAAAGCATTCAAATGTGATCAGATGCTTCAACAAAACTGGTCTTTATTCATTATTGGAATCCTATGTGATCAGATGAAGATAAGACTTTAGATACACTGCTTCAGAAATCAATACAAGTATCTGTACAGCCAAAGAAATTAGCTCTCAAACTAGATTAGCTCTCACCTGTAGACTGATGACAGAGTTATGATGGGAGGAATGTGTGGCAGTGGCCAGGCAAACTTACAGTCCTCTCTTGTTCTTCCTCTCATATCTGTACCTCAGCATGGGTACAGATATGACACAATTGAGGTAATTTCTGGTGGCCTCGACGCTCTTGTATGCTTCTCATGTGGACATTGCTTAGTGCGACATGTCCGTATACAGGGTAGCCAGCTGTATGGGCTCTCATGCTTAGTTCTCTTGATGCCACGGCTGCATAGTGTTTCCCACGGTGTGCAGGCAGGGTGTAGCCAACTCCCGCGGCCCCAAGAGCATCCATTACACACCAACTGATGAGCTGACCATTGGGATCCAAGATGCAAGAACTGAAGAAATGCTGCACCAGGCTGGCTAGGTACCTATGACTTTGTTCATTGCCCCCATAGGCCCATGTTTCATCCATCAGATCAACATGAGAGGCATTCAGGGTGGACACTGTGAAGCCGCGATCTAGCCTGCAAGAACAGAAATATAAGTAGAATTCGGCCAAAGAGAGGTTTAAATAAAAGACTGATATACTGGCTGAGTCTAAAGATGTACATTCCAATAATGGTAAGTTATGAATTGGACAACAGTTTTCTTTTAGCGTCACCAGAAATGTTCTGTCTCTGAATGCTCTCCCCAAAATAAGTCTCTTCCTCAGTACATTCCACTCACAAGACGAATTCCACAAGGTTTCATGTGAGACAGATACAAATTTCTTACCTGGGACCAAAAAGAAGTTATGCTTGAGCCCTGATAACAGCCATGGAATGACAGACTAAAATGCATATATGAGATTGAAATGGGAAGATTATCAAAGGCACTTTTTTCAAGTGGAAGCAACCCAGTATCCGAAAAGCATCACAGGTGAAATCTCCAGTTTTAGTGTAATTTAGTGATACTCACTGGTACTCAATTAATTTATTTGGGTTGGGGTGTGTATAGGTAATGTAAGAAGTTGCTGACAGTGGCACATTCTTAATAGCAGCAGCAAGCTTGGATACTCGATATATGCCATCCTGGTTCCCTGCAGAGTCACAAAATAGTCAGTAAGCATATGGCATGAATATGTGTCTATTAGGCATGAGTAAAACAATCAGAATTACTTGAAAAATCAGATATGGACATACACATTTCACTTTCAAAGTGAGTTTTGAACCATGCAGGAAAGGGGATTCCGAATTTGAACCACTTACCAATTATTTTTGGAAATATTTTGTAATGTCCGGATGTCTCCCGAGGTTATTTTAATTTTCACAACCATTTAGCAACTTTGGTAAAGGCAAGGGAACTTTAAAAATCTCATTCTTTCGGTCGGCACTTCTAGAAGGGATGTGGTGGGTGTGACTAATCACAGCCATCTTAACTGTAGTTTGGGAAGGCCAGGCCTCCAATGGTAGAGATTGCAAAAGGCCCTGTTGTTAAGCTACATTTCTCACAATGCATTCCTGCTCAATAGCCAAATGATGTCTGAAGGACCCAAAAATAGCTGTCTGTAGCAGTCTTCATCTAAATATAAAATAAACTGATTTAATCTACAAAGAGTACTAAAGAAGGGAGCAAAGCAATAAGCAACTTTTGCAAGGACAAGAGAACATAAACTGCTTTAAAAACCAATAATTTTACTTTGGTCTGATTGCCATGAACAAGGCACTGGGGTAGCCAGCCACAGCCAGCCAGCCTTTTACATCAGTAAGTAATGATAAAATAAAATGATTGATTGCATCTGCAAAAAGGAATAAACAGATGGGTGTGTCTTGAGGGTCTCCTCCAACTCAGTAGAGGAAGCAAATGGATGTCAGGAGAGTTTGGATGGTGCCTTTCTGCTCAGAAGGGAGTCAGTACTATGATTGCTGTTCTCCACCAATTTAACACAGTTTTTGCCACACAAACAAAGTTTCTGGACTAGAACAACTACTTTCAAAGTAAAGATCACCCAATGAAACAGGAAATAACACTTTCAAACTAGGAACAGATTTTCTTTATTATTAATTTTTTTTTATAAAAACTTTGAAAATTCTCCAAAAATCCATGGATAAGTTAAAGGTTATGAAATTAGGTGAGCTAACAGTGGTCCATGTGTTCTACCACTGTAGCAAGTTTCATTAGGATTGGTCCAAAAATGAGGGAGGAAGAATCTCCTGAAGTTTCCCCAGTGCCAGTGCTGTTTTTTCCTACTGCGCATGTACGTCCGCATTAACGAATCAATTCAGAAGTTTCAGAAATTCTGACTTTTTTTCAGAAAAATTCTGAAGTGACTTTAAAATTGAACCACCAGTGCCCCCTACATCCAAAATGAGTTTTGAACTATTTTTTTTATCTGCCAAGTCTAGTGTCTATACTAGATTGAGGCTAGAATTCTATTAGATTTTCAGATTGAAATGATGCTCCTCTGCAACTCAGCTTCCTAATGGAGCTCCTGTGGCTTGTGCTTTTTACATTGTTGAGCACTTGCGAATGTCACAAATGTAAGGTGGGGTGGAAGGGGATGGGAATAGACACAATTACAAGCCCTATAAGTTAGTGGCAGGTATCAAGCCCATGCCAAAATAATGCAATATTTTGAATGGTTAAAATATGGATATGTTATCTTTTTCCACCTGCACAGCCTTATAGGTGGTCAGAAAATATTATTTATCTCAATATATTCAAAGGAATTCCTTATGTACAAGGGGTATATTATGTAGTTAATTGTGAATGAATGGTTCAGCAGAAAATGGTATAATATTGACTATGTTCAGATATTCCTAAAATTGCTGCTTTTTAGAAGACTTTTACCACAAGCATTTTGATTCTTTCTCCCCCAGTTTCACTGCTCTGTAATTTTTTTTTAAAAAAAATCCATTTTTCAATTTAAGTAAAACTTTATATGACAAAAATATTGCCTTGGGAATTGCAAAAAAGAAAGAGGGAGAGTGGAAGAGGAAAAGAATCCCGCACCCTGTGCATGCTTGCACAGAAGTAAGTAGCACTCCTTAACCAGGTAACTAACAGGAAAATGGGGTGATTTACAGCTACTGATAGCTTTTACTGTCCGTAGTAGAGGACATATTTGTCACTGGATGAAGATGAAAGGGGGCAAGGTGAAAAGAAATAAGTGCTGAGAGCTCCTTCTTCTTTCCAGGCTGAGGATGGGGAAAGCTCTCCTCGCAGCAACTTCAATATGATTGCCCAATAGAACAACCTGAGAATTCCTCTGCAGTAGTGGTTCTCAACCTGTGGGTCCCCAGGTGTTTTGGCCTACATCTCCCAGAAATTCCAGTCAGTTTGCCAGCTGTTTGGATTTCTGGGAGCTGAAGGTCAAAACATCTGGGGACTCACAGTTGGAGAACCACTGCTCTACAGTAATGAGTTCCCAAAATTGATGTAAGGATTGTGGAATCTCTTGAAAGATCAACAATGGGGAGATGACTCCAGGGAAGAGGAAGATTCCCAAGGAGGTAAGCAGCGGCTGTGGGACTGCACTATAAATTTCAGGTCTTCCTCCTCTTCAAGATTCTAATCTGCTGGAATAGGAATAGCAGCAATAGTTCTTTCCTGTTGATAATCATAGCCAGGGAAACACACACAGAGAGAGAGAGAGAGAGAGAGAGAGAGAGAGAGACTGGAAGTCAACTTTAATTCTGTAGGTTATGGTTTAGGGGTGACTTGATTTTTTAATTATTATTTGCACTTCTTTGTAGAAGGACTTTTAGGAGAGATGGGCCATATTTCACAACATTTGGAGAGAAGTGTTTCCTAGCAATCTAGTAAATCTAATCAGAGAACTTTAAATCAAATCAAGTCCTATGGAGGAGGGAGCGATTGAAGAGGACAGGGTGATACAAGCTACTGTTGAATATTGTATCAATGGTTAATGAAAAACTTGACCTGGCAGATGAATAACCAGTATTGGTAAGAATTAGATGAGTAGCCAAAATCATAGTGAGAAGGTCAAAAAGGCTAAAGCTCTCAAAACTGCAAAATAAATTAAAACAATGAAAAAGAGGATGTCACTTACATTAAGAGAAAAAAGATACACAAGAACAGTATGCATGGAGAAGATGGAGAAATGCTAATGGGAGAAAAAGTGGAGTCCTGTCAATACTAGAGCTTCACCAAGGAGTATGCCTCAGTGCTCAACCTAATGAAAATAGAAGAAGGCATAGAAGGGATCTTCAGATGAGTAAAGAGGGGATACAAGAATACCTAGCTACTGGAAATTAATTTAAGTTTCTATGGTGAAATAAATCCCTGTAAACCAACTTACAGATTATAATCTCTCAAATCCCAGATTTGAGCAAGAACTAAGAAGGCCATCACAGTAGCATCTGCTGAGGTTATAACAGGGTGTCTGTGCAATCAGTAATAAGGAGGGCATTGCTCTACTGATGCAGCCTTGGTCAAACTGGGCCATCTGGTCAATAATATGGCTTCACCAAGGGGTATGTTTTAACTATGTGTTTGGAATTCTATGTTTTTTAGCTCTTGTGATCTCAAGGTAGATAGAATTTTGTCCTTGTTGATTAGCCAAAAGGATTTCAGTGCTCAACCTAGCAAAAATATGACAAAAATGAAGCGAGATGCAGCCAAAGATGGGTAAAGAACTACTAACAGTTTTAAATGAATTCAGGACTCTGGAGCCAAATGAACTTCATCAAATTCAGTGAATTTGTACCTATTTGACCCAGAAAATCAAGGCAGTTCCTATCAATGATTAATCACCTTGGAGAGAAGTGGCAATTATAGTGTTGCAAAGTTCTGATTGTCAACCTCTTTATGAATTAATTTGTAAAGATAGAGGGGATTGACAGATGACACCGAACTGGGAATAGTAGCCTATGCTTCCAAGATGGAATCAAGATATAAAATGATCTCAATAGATTGGATAGCTTTAAAAAGAATGTTTCTACATTTAAGCAAGAAAAGCCACATGTACAAACATTGCTTGAAAGCTATCTGGCTTGACATCAGTACACACGAAAAGTTTCCAGATGCCTAGAACAAAATCCTTTGAGCTGATCTTGTTTTTATTTTTTAATTATTTCTTTCCCCATATCCTTATTTGTTTAGGTCTGTACTCCCCTTCTTTTTTTGTCTGTCTTTACTTCTGACTATCTGCTCATTTCATAGATCCATCCTACCCTTCTTGTTCTCTTTTTTTCTTTTGAGAATCCCAGATCTCCTCATAGAAGAAGGCATAGAAGTTTTCCCTTCTATGCAAATGTTATACACCACCAGAAAACATATCTCACCTGAAAGCTGGAAGCTTGCATTCTCCTTTTTAGAGGTTGTCTTCTCCTTTTTATATACCTTGGCTGAGACTCCACTTTATGGGGCTGTACATCTTAATCTAATAACTTCAAAGCACCTAATTTTTGGCACTCTAATAATTATTTAATAAGACAGAATTCTATCCCATTTGATCAAGCTGTAGACCTATCAAAGGATATATAGTTTTCATAACTATTTCCTCAGAAGGAAGGAACTGAAGAAGTTACCTTGGATACGGAAGCGTTGCATCCAGTTAATAGCGTCTGTGTCCAGTACCAGAGTCTGGTAGACAGCAAGATCTTGGTAAAATGCTGCATACACATTGGCATAAAAATCAGAGTCATCAGAGACAACCTAAAAAGGAGAAGCGTGGAACTCTTGTGTAATTTAAAAACATATCTTTTCTGCCATTCCTGAGGTTTGGTCAAAGACCCATATTTTACATCACCTACTTAGTTCCAAATGTGTATCAAGTCATGTCCCAAACTTCAATCCTAGTTTACCAGGCAACAACTGCACCGAGAGATGGAAGTCTGTTCTGCTGGATTATGTTTTCACCCACGCAGCTCACCTGCAAGGGAGACTGTGACAAGGGATTATTACAGGGGACCTGCTTCTGGATTTTCGCAACCTCACTTGCTGGTGAGGAGATGGAAATGTAATCCTTCCCTGCCCTGGGAAGCAGAAAACAACTCTGCTCCCTCTTCCTTATGACATCCTTTCACATGAATATCTGATCTGGCCATGGTGGTCCATGCCTTAGTTACATCTTCTGTGGATTACTGCAAGCACTCCACGTGGGGCTGTCTCTGAAAACGGTTCAGAAGTTCCAATTAGTACAAAGATCTGCAGCCAGGCTACTGACTGGGGCAGGTTGTAGAGAACATAAAACCTCCTCTTAAAGCAGCTTCATTGGTTATACATGATATTCCTCTTAATGTGGACAAGGTCTTTGTTCTATGGATAAACTTGAGTATTTTGGCTTTTATCTAGTTTATTCAATCTATTGAAACCACTGTGTTTTAAATATGTTTTTAACTAACATTTCTACTGTTTATTGTTAAATCTGCCTATATTGTTTTACTTTATTTTGTTTATTTCCTTTATTAACTTGCCATTTACTTTGTATATATTATTTATTGTATATACATATGTTGTGAGCCACCCAAAGTCCTTTCAGGGAGATGGGGCGAGATAGATGATGATGATGATGATGATGATGATGATGATGATGATGATGATGATGATATGTCTCCTCTCAGTCTTCTGTATGCTAAACATACCCAGCTCTTTAAGATGCTCCTCATAGGGAATGGTCTCTAGATCTTTGGTCATTTTAGTTGCTCTCAATATCCCTTTTGAACTGTGGTGCCTAGAATTGGACACCACATTCCAAGTGAGGTCTGACCAAAGGAGCATAGAGGGGCACCATGGCTTCCCTTGATCTATACACTATACTTTTGATGAAGCCCAAAATCTCTTTTCCTTTTTGAGCTGTTACATCGCACTGTTGGCTCATGTTCAACTTGTTCTCCACGAAGACTCCAAGATCTTTTTCAAACTGACTGTTGTCAAGCCAGGCATCACCCATTCTGTATCTTTGCATTTCATTTTTTCTGCCTAAGTGCAGTATCTTACATTTGTCCTTGTTGAAATGTATTTTGTTAGTTTTGGTCCGATTCTCTAATCTGTTAAAGTCATTTTTTAATTCTTATCCTGTCTTCTGGAGTATTAGCTATCCCTCCTAATTTGATGGCATCTGCAAGCTTGATAAGCATATCTTCTAAACCTTCATCCAAGTCATTAATAAAGATGTTGAACAGCACCAGGCCTAGAAGAGAACCCTGCGCACTCCACTCGTCACTTCCTTCCAGGATGAAGTGGAATCATTGGTGAGCACCCTTTGGGTTCGGTTGCTTAACTAATTACAAATTCACCGAATAGTAGCATTGGTTAGCCCACATTTGACTAGTTTGCTTGCAAGAAGGTCATGGGGAACTTTGTCAAAGGCCTTACTGAAATCAAGATGTGCTACATCCATGATATTCCCTGCATATACCAAACGTGTAGCTCCATCAAAAAAAGAGATAAGATGAGTTTGCCATGACTTGTTTTTGAGAAATCCATGTTGACTTGTTGAAGACAGTCAATTTTAAAAAGTTAATTTTTTAAAGTTCACTATAAAATTTAAAAACAATTTAAATCCTCACATAAAACAGTATAGATCCATGTTAAAAACAATTTTTAAAAGATTTAAGATAAATGAAACAATCCAGTAAAAAGCTCCTCTGCTTACATATTAAAAGCCTGCTTAGACAAGAGCATCTTTGGCTGCCTGTAAAAGGAAAGCTAGGAGGGGGCTAACCTAGGCCCCTTCCACACAGCTGTATAAAATCCACATTGAACTAGATTATATGGCAGTGTGGCCTCAGATAACCCAGTTCAAAGCAGATATTGTGGATTATCTGCCTTATATTCTGGGTTATATAGCTGTGTGAAAGGGCACTTAGCCTCCCATAGAGTTCCAGAGGGTGGGAGCAGCCTTTCCCTGTAGATTAGATTGGGAGATGTGATGTTTCGGGTCTCTTCCACACAGCCATATAACACAGAATATCAAGGTAGATAATCCACAATATCTGCTTTGAACTGGGGGCAGTTCCAGACAGGCCGTTATCCCAGGAGCATGGTTCAAACAGATCAGGAAAACAATTGTTCTTGGCACTACATATAATGCATGTTCTGTAAGATCCCTCAAGGCCATTACCTCTCTTTGTGGCCGGGTGAGGACTGCTTTGAAATTGGGCCAGGAATCCACAATCACCTCATGGCCAGCTGGGTTCCCACGGTTTATGTTCATTACTGCACCATGGACCTGTCAAGAGTCAGATGTCAGAACTGGGACTACAGTGCAATCAAAAGGGCCAGCCTGAGACCAAAGAGTAGACTGAGGATCTCATTCAGATTTTCACCAGTTGTATCCACACACACACAGCTAAGAAAATGCATCTTCCTCACTAACATTTGAAGAAATGTTGGGATTCATGGACACATTTCATGACAATTTAGTCAGTAACCCTTGATTTGCACACATATATACACACATCCACTGCAATCCCATTTAGTCTCAACAATTTTCTGAATATTTCTAGATGGCAGCTTAGATCAGGGACACATTTTTCCGAGTATTGGTGTGTTGTACCAAAAGCCTAAAGCTGTTGGGAGCTCATCCTGTGATTGTGTATCAGGACAACGGTGCTTTGGATGTGGGGAGTGATGTCAATGAGTTTCAAGATGGCAATGGTTTGGTCGATGATATTGATGCAGAGAATGACCAGGATATCCGTGTTCAAAGTTTAGTTTCCCATGAGAATATCCCTGAGGGGTGTGGGGATTATGGTGTGCTCTCTAAATTGTCACCAGAGGGTTCTCATGATAGGGAACACCCGGCCCAGCTGCAGAAATTAATGAGCAAATAGATAGACGGGAGGAGATCAGTCAAAACAGGAGAGCCGAACAGTGGCTTCAGCGTTCTGCCAGGCTTTGAGAGAAAAAGATAAGACATTCTCAGGTAAAGCGAAACCAATTTCTGAGCGTTAGAGACATAGCTAACGGGGAGATAAAAGTCCCAAGTACAGGATATGTAGTTAGATCATCAAGATCTCGTCCTTGTTTCATGGAAGCTTTGCTTGGAAAATTCATGTTACAAGTGCCTTTGTTTCATGGTTTTGCTTCCTGGGTTTTATGCTTTATATTCATGCCTTGGATTCATATTTCCTGATTTCTTGCATTTTGTTTGGGAAGCTTTGACTTTGTTTTTATGGACTTTGCTGAACTATTACCCTGGACTACTTTGTTCCTGCTTATCTTCCTACCTAATTGGACTTACCTATTTCTTTAAAGTGCTTTTTTACTTTCCTGCTTTTTTAAATTATCTTCAATAAAAGAATTGTTTCCCTATCCAACGGTGTGGTGTTTAAAGTCAGAGGGCTTTTCCTGTCCTGGAGTGCAACAAAAGCAATGGTATGCAATGTTTAGTTCTTCAGGCCTTTGGGGCTCCCAGCTCCTAGAAGCCCTGGCTATCTTGTCCAATGCTAAGGATTTCTGGGAGCTGACATCCAAAATACCTGGAGGACCAAAGGTTGACACCACTTGTCTAAAGGCTATAACTAGAAACATGCAATTTCTGAAGTTTCCTTTTGATGCCAAATGAGATGGCTAGAAGTGCAGAAGATGTCCATCTTGGGGCCCTTCCACACAGCCTTATATCCCAGAATGTCAAGGCAGAAAATCCCACGCTATCTGCTTTGAACTGGGTTACACACTGTCTTAGATTCCAGTTCAAAGCAGATAATGTGGGATTTTATTCAGCTGTGTAGAAGGGCCCATAGCTCCTCACATAGATTCCATGTTTTACAATTACCACAAGTGCTTGAGGGAGGCACTTCCTCAGTATCCCCTCCAGCAGCCGCAACTTGGAAGGACAGGAGAGAATCAACATTGTGTGGGAAGCAGAGGCAGATGAGCAGGTCTCTGATGAAACAGATTGGACAGCAAGCACCTAAGGAAGGGAGAGACCAATGCCGTCATCCCTTGTGTGTCATTAGCAAAGAGACATGGGGTCTTCCACACAGAATATCAAGGCAGATAATCCACAATATCTGCTTTGAACTGGGTTATCTGAATCCCCACTGCCATATAATCCGGTTCAATGTGGATTTTATACAGCTGTATGGAAGGGACCTCCATATATATTGGTTTATCCCCAGGGGAGACAAAAATAAGGCCTCCTTCCCCTTCCTTCCCACCTCATTGATCAAGAGTGGTGGTTCTCAACCTGTGGGTCCACAGGTTTTTGGCCTACAACTCCCAGAAATCCCAGCCAGTTTACCAGCTGTTAGGATTTCTGGGAGTTGAAGGCCAAAACATTTGGGGACTCACAGGTTGAGAACCACTGCTCAAGAGAGACAACACATACCCACATGAACCATTGTGACTGTCACGCAGGCAGCTACTCACCAACAGCAGACCAGATTTTCTTGAGAGAAGAAATCTTTTATGAATCAACTGCCGGAACAGTGCTTCCTCTGTGCTTGTGTTTGATCCAGCTGAGTCTCCTGGCAAGATTGTTTTAATTTAGAACCGATGCAAGGGGTGGAGTGAAGATTTATATAAGAGTATACTAGAATGAATGAAACATTAACAGAGACTGTTCTCAGATTGTAGCTATTAATCTTAGGAATGGGATCTGTAAAGCACATAATAATTGGTGACTATCCAAATAAAAGGAAAATGGCTGTTCTAAAGGATGGGGAAAGGTGTCTGCTGAATGGGAAGTTCCTGGTTTTTGCAGCTTCTTCCATCAAGTGCTGCTGATGAAGAGATTTATAGGGGGAAGTCTGAAAATGTCTGGTAAGGATAAGGCTTATCGGCATGATTAGGGCAGTTCCAGACATCATTAAATTGCGCACTTTAGTCAGGGGCAGAAAAAAAACGAGACCTGCAACCAGGTCTGCACACAGAACTATCGGTCATGGGATTTCTGCCTCCATTGTCCACACTTGCTGCTTTCTCTCAGGATTTTGCAGCTCCCAAGATGGCCGCCACGGGACATCAACTGAAAATTTCGGCTTTTAAAAAAAAACTTAAGATGCGAACATGCAAAGATGGGAATCATTATATAAGTTCCATTTCTGGGTTATATAAGCTGCAGGGCGATCTGTGCAGACAGCTTTTGTGGTGTACTTGTGGCGTGGAACAACAGGGTGTTGTTTTTGGGTTATACATGTCTGTTCCTGATTGCCATTGTTGTGAAAAGATGTACAACATTGACTAGAGGCTGACAATTTTGTCCTGGCCAGAGAAAAATGTGCTCTCCACACATTTCATGAAGTTTTTGGCACACAAACAAAGTTTTCACATTCTATTCAACTGTCACCTTCTTGTTAGGAACCGACCAATCAGGAACAGACATCTAAAACCCAGGAACAAACCCAGATAAAAAATCCTGTGATTTCTGAGTGCAAGGATATACAGACATTCAAAGACGCAGATTTTTGGCTCAGAACCGGAATAGTCCCATACCTGAAGAGCTCAATTTTTTTGCTGTTTGTAGCAATTGCTTCTGCATTTACATGGAAAGGCATTTGGCCACCCTCTAATTTGCTGTGGGAGCTCCTGGGATAAAGGTACTGTCTGGATGGGTCCTTAGATGCCTTGGGTGCGGGGATGGTACTGAACATTTTTTTTCATGTTCCTCTACTGAAAACAATACCATCATGACAGTGGCACAGGTGTCTCATTGACTACCTGCTGCTGGGTTTCAGCTTTTGTATAAGGCCCCTTCTACACAGCTGTATAAAATTCAGATTATTTGCTCTGAACAGGATTATATAGCAATGTAGACTCAGATAATCAAGTTCAAAACAAATATTCAGGGTATGACAGTGTAAAAGTGCCTTAATTTATTTATTTATTTATTTATTTATTTATTTACGGCGCTTATATGCCGCCCTTCTCACCCCGAAGGGGACTCAGAGCGGCTTACAATATATATTTTATTAAAACCTATATATTTGGCTACTAACGACTGCTTCTTGGCTACAGAAGTGCTGTCACCAAATACAGTCAGACACTGTTTCCTTTGTGTAGTAAACACCAGAGTTTGCTTGGTGACCCATGGTTAATAGTAGTAGTAGTAGTAGTAGTAGTAGTAATAATAATAATAATAATAATAATAAAAAATGTACGACAATTCTCATGGCTTGAGGCAAGGTACAACACATTATAAAATACATTTAATAGAGACTGCAGAGTTCTCCTCAGATAAGCACTTGGGGAAACAAGGCCCCTTCCACACAATTGGGAAAAAATCCCACATTATCTGCTTTGAACTGGAATATATAGCAGTGTGGACTCAGATAACCCACTTTAAAGCAGATATAATGGAATTTTCTGCCTTGATATTCTGGGTTATATGGCTGTGTGGAAGGGCCCTAAGTTACACCTGTAGGTTATATCACTGGTTCAGAGATATCTTGGGGCCTTTCCAGTTCAAAGTAAATAATGTGGATTATCAATTTTGATATTCTGGATTATTTGGCAATGTAGAAGGGCCCTAAGACCTATATATTTGGCTAATAACAACTGCTTCTTGGCTACATGAGTGCTGTCACCAAGTAGTCAGGCACTGCTTCCCTTGTGTAGTAAACTCCCCAGAGTTTGATTCGTGATCCGTGGTTAATAATTTCTACAAAATCTGTATTTTCCCTGTAGCTTTCAGATTGTGTCAAAGATGTAAAAACCAGAGAAGAATCTTTGCTCATTTTTGATAGTTTTGCTTGGAGACCAAGAGTGATTAGGTTAATGCCCTGTTTCCCAGCGTGGGGTACATGCCTCAGGGTAGGGGGAGATTTTGATTTGGGGGGGGGGCAATTCAAGAATGAATTAACAGTGTTTTAACATTTCTAGGGATCTCATATACAGTATATAAATATATATTGTGCCACATACATTTCAAAATTAAAATCAGAATGGACATAGTGGCCAGGTGGTGATACTGGAGAGGGGGAAAGAGCACTCATAGAGAGAAGTGGAGAGAGCATAGACTTCACTAGAGAGTGCAGGAGCTCAGAAATGCAGCCACTCTCCTTCCAAACTGCCTCTCGGTATTATTGTAATGTCACAATTTATACAAAATATATAAAAATATGTTTTCATTCTGCATATGAATGTAGCAAGAAATATGTGAAAAAATCCAAAGCACAATTTGTTGCACCCTAGCCCCGAGGCACCTGTTCACCCAGTGTCACACCAGAGGGCAACAGTCCAATAATAAAGTGTTTATTGAAGAAAGAGTATAAAAGGGGTGGACAGGGTTATATCCAAAAGTAGCAATTAGGATATAACTTGCAATATACAAAATAAGCCAGTGTTCAGTAAAAGTCTTTCAAGAATGCCAAGGAATGAGACAGATAATATAGAAGCTAGAAATCCAAAACACAGAAATAATCCAAGGTAATTCCAAGAACCTGAACACAGGAATCCCTTCCAGTCAAAAGTCTTTGAGGATACATAGGCAAAGGCAGGAACATAAAGAAAGAATCTTGACATTTTAAGAACCATGGACTTGGGAACTTGGTAACATGAACAGGAGACTGTTTCTCTTTTAGTAATGTTGTCTCCTCTGAAGTGCTTGGAACCAAAACCTCAAATTTAAGCCCATCGAGGTTCCCATGAAATCATGTCAAAAGCACCTTGATTTCCAGGCCTTATCTTGGAGGCACTGAGAAGACCTAGCCTGTCTACTTTTCACGTCCTGTGTTCTGAGATCTAATGTACACTCCCTTGTGGCCTTTTCGACTTCCCCATCTTCCCAAGGTCCTTTCTCCAGGGAAACGACAGTTTCACTTTCCCTGGTTTCTAAGAAAAGATTTAAAGATTTAAAGAATCTACAGTATTGGGCGGGTCAGGCTGACCTGTCTGGAAATCTCCCTGAACTCTCTCACTCCCTGGACACTTTCAGACACTTCATTTTGAAACCCCTCATCCTCAGAATCTTCTGGATCTTGCCAGTCCACAATACAATTATTACTTCCATAGGAAAGTCAATATTTTAGTATAAAAAATTAAAAGATTATCAGCTGCAAGAAAATTAACACCTGGTGACGGGATATTCTCGCATATGCTCACAATGAAGTGGGATTACTCCAATTAATTGTGCCTAAAATATTACTGTTGCCCACATGATAGTTGCTCAATTTCATTACTTAACTTTATCAAGTGTGAAGTGTTTGTCAGAAATATTAAAAATTAACTAGATATTTTTGGTTACAAAAATGTGAGTCAAGCACTGAAAAGATTAAATGGATGCAGTGACTCAGAGAAGCTGTGGTTCAATATAAGCAGGCATGCCTGTTGCTTAGTCGGAGTCCGTCTGAGGTAAACCTTAGTGGGAGAAAGGTCTCAGTCTGTGAGGTAGGCCTCACAGTGTGAGGTAGGCCTTAATCTATGAGAAAGCCAAGTATGAACAAGGCCTGGTGTGAGAAGCTTCAGTGAAAGAAAACCCAGGTTGAAGGCCTCATGTGAAAAGCCTCATGTGTGAAGCTCCAGTGTATAAAGGCCGTTGTGTGTAAAAAAAAAAAAAACACTACTGTGTGAAGCTCCTGTGTAAGTTTGGTCTGCGAGGAAGTTGTGTGAGAGTGACGCTAGAAGCCGTTTATCTGCATAAGAAAGAATCCCAGCATGGAAGCAAAGAAGGAATTATAAAGAACTTTATTTGTGTTATAGAAACTTTGTTCTTGTAAATAGTGTGATCATATTATTTTGCTATAAAGAAAAGCCTCCTATGGAAGAGATACCATTGGTCTCTGTGTTTTTGTTCTTTTTATCACTTTGAGCTACTGGTGCTGGGTCACGCTGCTATTAATAAGTTACTCTGCTGTACATTTATGAGGAGGGTCTTTGTTTTCATTAACAAAAATGGTATTCGACAAACAAATACTGTATTTACTCAAGTCTATTGTGCCATCAATTGTAATGCAAACCTTAATTTTGAGGTGTGGATTAGCAAAAAATGGATTTGCCATCCAATGTAATGTGCTCCTTCCCAGCTGGGTGCAAGCAGAAGCCATGCCCTTCTGCTTACAGCCTGGGCTTGGGGGGTGGGGGGTGCATTTCTCCTTTGCCTCTCAGCTGGGGCTGACAACCTATGGATTTCTCACTTTCATTCTGGAAACCTATGGATTTCTGTTTCATTCGTGCTTGGTTTCCCACAGTATCTAATATATATTATATACATTATAATACTGGTATCTGCTGGAGTTTGATTGTAGGATATGCTGTGGATATCAGCATCTGTGGATGTCCAAGTCCCATTAGGGCTTAATGGTGTAACATTAGAAAATGTTGATCATTTCTGCTACCTTGGCAGCCACATCCCATAAAAGTCAACATTGACACCGAAATACAACACCACCTGAGCTCTGTGAGTGCAGCATTTTTCCAAATGGAGCAGTGTGTTTGAGGACCAGGCTATCCATAGGGTGACAAGGTGCTTATTTATAAAGCCATTGCCCTCCTAACCCTGCTATATGCCTGCGAAACGTGGACTGTCTACAGACGTCATATGCAACTCCTGGAACGATTCCATCATCGTTGCCTCTGAAAAATCCTGCAAATCTCTTGAGAAGACAGACAGACAAATGTCGCATTCTGGAAGAAGCAAAGACCACCAGCATTGAAGTGATGCTCCTATGCCATCAATTCCACTGGACTGGCCACATTATCTGAATGTCCAATCACAGTCTCCCGAAGCCATTACTCTACTCCCAACTGAGGAATGGAAAATGGAATGTTGGTGGGTAGAAAAAGAGATTTAAAGATGAGCTTAAAGCTAACCTTAAAAACTGTAGCATAGACACCAAGAACTGAGAAGCCCTGGCCTCTGAGTGCTCTAACTGGCGGTCAGCTGTGACCAGCAGTGCTGCAGAATCTGAAGAGGCACAAATGGAGGGTGAAAGGGAGAAATGTGCCAAGAGGAAGGCGCGTCAAGCCAACCCTGACCAGGATTGCCTTCCACCTGCAAAGCGATGTCCTCACTGCAGGAGAACATGTGGCTCCAGAATAGGGCTCCATAGCCACCTATGAACCCACCGCCAAGACACCAGACTTGGAGGACCATCATCCTCAGGCTATGAGGAATTGCCGAAGTAAAACAGAATGAAGGCTGATTGACTCCCCTTTGAGTGCCATGGCTCAATGAATTCCTGACAATTGAACAAACCCCCTAGGGCTTCTGGGAGTTGGAGGCCCAAACAGCTGAAGGCCGCACTTTGAGGATGCCTGTTATAGACTCATGAGAGTTATAGTTTGGTGAGGCACCAGCACCATTTCGCAGTGGACTACGTATTGTCGAAGGCTTTCATGGGTGGAATCACTGGGTTGTTGTAGGTTTTCGGGCTATATGGCCATGTTCTAGAAGCATTCTCTCCTGACGTTTCGCCTGCATCTATGAGGTTGTGAGGATCGGCTGCCACGGGGAGGCTCGCGCTCTCTCTCTCTCTCCCTCCCCTGGAAAGCTCGGTGCGCTTGGCAGCCTCTCTACGCAAGAGGAGGGAGGAGGAGGAGGAGGAGTTTCACTTTGCAAAGCGAAAGCAGCCCTGCCACTGGGCGAGAAAAACAACCCCCTCTGTGTCGCAGGCCTCTGGGCGCCTCCGCCGCCGCCGCCTCCTTCCTTCCCCCTCCGGAGAGGCCACCTTTAGGGTCGGGGTCGCGTTTGACAGCCTCTGGAGCTGTTCCCGGTAATGAAGCCCCTGCCTCGCCGAGCAGCTTTGCCCAGGAGGGCGCCCCCGGTTTCCCTTTCCTTGTTTGCACCCTTCGCCGCTCCCTCCCCCCCTCCCTCCCTCCCTCCCCAGGAAGGCGACGGGCATCAAGAGGGGGGTCTCCCCTGCTTTTATTAAGAGGCTCGGCAGAAACAGTGGGGGGGGGGGGGGGGGGGTTCTCCGGAGTCACCTGAGAGGAAGAGGAGGAGGAGGAGGAGCAACAAGGGTGTCTCGCCAAAGAAAGGATGTTTGTTGGGGACTGCATGCTGGGACAGGTTGGAATATCTGCATGAGATTTTAGAGAAGTGGGTCTCAACCTGTGGGTCCCCAGATGTTTTGGCCTCCAACTCCCAGAAATCCTGACAGCTGGTAAACTGGCCGGGATTTCTGGGAGTTGAAGGCCAAAACACCTGAGGACCCACAGGTTGAGAACCACTGCTTCAGGGACAGGCTGGATCTACACCAGGCATGGGCAAACTTCGGCCTTCTAACTGGCTGTTAGAAATGGTGAGAATTGGAGTCCAAAACACCTGGAGGGCCAAAGTTTGCCCATGCCTAGGTGATAGTATGATAGCTGGATCCGGAAGTTCTGAGCCTTATGGAGATGCTGCAAAGGCCGCTGTGAATAAGGGAAGAGAGGGGGCGGAGTGAGAGCTAAGGAAGGATAGAAAGCAGGGGACGCTTAGGGTAAGGGTTAGGGCAAGGTTTAAGGTAAAGGTTATAGGTTGCGGTTAGGGTATGGTTTTGGGTTAGGGTTTGGGGTAATAGTATGATAGCTGGGTCCAGAAGCTACGAGAGTTACGGAGATGCCGCATCACTTCTTCGAGAGCACTGTTTGTGCAAGAGAGACTTAGCTAATGTAAGCCAGGCCGGAGACAGATAATATTAGAAGAAATGTAAGAGTTCTTTAATGGTGAAGCCCTCACCCTTACTCTGACCGTAACCCAAACCCTAAACCTTGCCCTTACCCTAAGCATCCCCTCCTTTCTATCCTTCCTTCGCTCTCTTGGCTCTCACTCTGCCCTCTCTCTTCCCTTATTCACAGCCGTCTTTGCAGCATCTCCATAACTCTCTGAGCTTCCAGGTCCAACTATCACTGGGTTTGGGCTAGTGTAAGGGTTAGGGTAAGGTTTAGGGTTTGGGTGAAGGTTAGGTTAAGGGTTTGAGTAAGGGTTAGGCTTATAGTACGGTTCAGGGTAAGGGTTAGGGTAAGGGTTTCACCATTAAAGAACTCTTACATTCATTCTATATTATCTGTCTCTGGTCTGGCTTACATTAGCTAAGTCTCTCTTCAGCAAACAGTGCCCCCAAAGGAGCGATGCGGCATCTCCGTAACACTCGGAGCTTCCGGACTCAGCTATCATACTATTACCCATGCCTGATCTACACTGACCACATAATTCAGTCCAAACTGTATTGTATGGGTCTACATCAGACATGGACAAACCTGGGCCCTCCGGGTGTTTTGAATCTCAACTCCCACAATTCCAAACAGCCACAAATGCTATGTTCAGCAAAGGACAAGAGGATCCTCTCACCTCTGCAGCAGTCTTCTGTATACCATGCAGCTGTGGACAAGTCTACATAGGGACCACTAAACTCAGCATTGCCCAAACACAAATCAAGGAACACGAAAGGCACTGCAGACTAACTCAACCAGAGAAGTCAGAGAAGTCAGCCATAGCAGAGCACCCGATGAACCAACCTGGACACAAGATATTATTTGAGAACACAGAAATGCTGGACCACACCAACAAACACCATGTCAGACTACACAGAGAAGCCATTGAAATCCATAAGCATGTGGACAATTTCAACAGAAAGGAAGAAACCATGAAAATGAACACAATATGGCTACTCGTATTTAAAAAAAACAACTCTAAAATTATAACAGTAAATAATGAACAACACTCAAACACAGGGGAACTCCAGACAAGAAACAATCAGGGGCAGCTATTCACCTCTCAACCCAGGCAGTTAACAAGCCACGCCTAAAAACTAGCAGGCCATCAAATGCTAATCTAGGTGGCCAATTATTACACTTTATTTGTACCCCGCTACCATCTCCCCAATTGAAACAGATAAGAGTTCTTTCTCCCACCCTGGACTTTCTACAGATATATAAACCCAATTTTCCTAGTTTCCAACAGACCCCACAACGTCTGAGGATGCCTGCCATAGATGCAGGTGAAACGTCAGGAAAGAATGCTTCTAGAACATAGCCATACAGCCCAAAAAACCTACAACAACCCAACCAGTAGGCTGTTCGGGATTGTGGGAGTTTCAGTCCAAAACACCAGGAGGACCAAAGTTTGTCCATGCCTGGTCTACATTGATGCATTATAAGGAAGTGTAAATCCAGCCTGAGAGAACAAAGTTGGCAGCTTCAACTGTAGTAGATTGAGGCTTCATTACACTGTAGAATTAATGCAGCTTGGCACCACTAATTGCCTTGGCCGCTCAGTGCTATGGAGTCATAGTTTGGAGAGGCACTGGAATTCTTTGGCAGAGAAGGCCTAAAGACATGTACGACTACAACTCTCGTAATACTATAGCTTTGAGCTGTAGCACATAATAATAATAATAATCATCATCATCATCATCATCATCTTTATATCCTGCCACCATCTCCCATAGCACACAAAATCCACTTTAAATCCAGTTTCTGCTTCCTCCAGAATTCTGGAGTTTCTAGTTTAGTGAGGCTGTTAAAGACTCTTCCCTAAACTACAAACCCCAGAATTCTGCAGAAGGCAGAAAGCAGTTTTAAAGTGGATTTTTTCTCTAGAGTGATGAGGCTGAATACATCAACATATAAAATCAATAACACATTTACATATAATCAGACATAAAATTAACAAAAGAAACCTCTGGTACCAGACCTCATTCACTTTACAGTATAGATGCACCCAAAGTCTACAAAAGATGTATCTACACCACTGTTTGATTGCTATGGCTCTGTGCTTTGGGATCTTGGGAGGTGTAGCTTTACAAAACCTTTAGCCTTCTCTGACAAAGAATGCTGGTGCCTCCCCAAACTAGAACTGCCAGGGTCTCATAGCATGTCAGAGAAGAATTTCCTAGACTAAGTTCTACTCCATAGATTGAAATTCTGGGCATTGTAGTTGATTGTGGCATCAGAGTTCTCTGGCAAAGAAGGCTAAATATCTCAGGACTACAAATCTGACAATTGTATAACATTGAGTTGTGGCAGTTAACATGCTGTCAAACTGCATTAATTCTGCAGTTTGGCTACATCTTCTTGTCAATGAAAGCTTTTTGCTACCGGCAGCATTCTCTCAGGTGTACAAGTACACCAGAGAATAAATTCAGTTTGCATTCACTTTAACCTTAATCATGTAGTGCTTTAGAATACTAGGAGTTGCTACTTTATTTGAGCCTTTGCCAAATAATTCCTCACCAAACAACAGCTCCCATAATTCCATAGCAGTGAACCATTGCAGTTAAACTCAATTACTTCTACAGTGTAGATCAGTGGTTCTCAACCTGTGGGTCCTCAGGTGCTTTGGCCCAGTCAGTTTACCAGCTGTTAGCATTTCTGAGAGTTGAAGGCCAAAATATCTGGGGAGTCACAGGTTGAGATCCATTAGTGTAGATGCATCCTCCGTCTCTCAGGCGCCACAAGATCTCTTTGCACTTTGTTGGTGATGTCAGAGAAAAGGAGTTCCTTTTGGCCTGGTACCCTTGGGTGGGTTGGAAAAAGAGCTGCTAATGGATCAGAGCAGGTTGCAGGACACGATCTGGTCATTGGTTCTCATGTAGAGCACCAGTTATTGCAATTCTGCATTGTTGTCACTGCCAACTGTCTCACAGGCTAATGAGGTTCTGTGTAGAGAAGAGATCCTGACCCCCAGAAACTCTCAGTACCAACATATGAGTTTTGGAAAATATGTCAAATTTTATAAGAGGAAGAGGTCTCTGAACATTTACAAAATATCTTTCCCTCTCCATTTAGTCAATCCCAGGAGAATTATGGAGGGAACAACTTCTGGGTGGGATTGTGTCACTAGCGAGACAGGAGCCCAATATAGCCCTCTTTTTTAGAAAATAGGTAGCTGAGGTGGGAACACAAAACAAGTTAGCTAAAGTTTCTGCTTCTCTCTTCCTGTTGCTCCTTACTTAGACCAGCTGGTTAATGCTCTCTGAGCATCACATGGAGCCATGGGTAGGAAGCGACTCATCACAGACTCATTCCAAGTGGTGAAGAAAAGGAAAAGAGGGAGGAAAGAAGGAAAGGAATGCCAAACCCCAACCCATGGTGAGCATTTCTACAAGAAACATCTTCCTATATTTTCTGCCAGTAATATGTGATCTGTGGGGGAAAATTTAACATTTCAGGTACTGAATTGTAGGCATACAAGAGCAGCAGCTTTGAGAAGTGCAAGACTTCAATTCTTTCAAGCACATTCCAACTTTTCCTTTATTGATTCATGAACATGACTTCCAAGAGGCCTATGGTACTACTTTTCTCTCATCCCCTAATACCAGGCTATACAAGACATGGAAATTTTATTTAATCATTATTGTATTTTTGGGGACTGTGTTTCATTAACTTTGTACTCTAAAATAAGACGGAGGAAAATGTGCTTCTTTGTTTTCAGAAAATTACACTCCCTAGAAAACTAAGGGTTTATAAACCCCAAAGGCACCAGATCCTGTCTGATCTTGGTAACTAAGCAGGGTCAGCCCTAGTGAGCACTTGGATGGAAGACCACCACTGAATACCAGTGGCTGTAGGCTATATTTCAGAGGAATATTCTTTGCCTTAAAAACTCTTATGAAAATCATAGTGCCACTGTAAATCAACAAGTGACTTGAAGGCACATAAGCACAAGGCTTTTGCTGTTTTAAAAATAATAATCATATAATAGGGGACCAAAACCTTTGTTTCCCAGGACCACTGCTTTTGCATGCATATACATCAAGGAGATAAACAATCTTGGTGACATTACGACATTTCAACATTAACATCTTTGAAATGTGAGCCAGAGTTTAAGGTGGCTATGAATAACACTATTCCCCATTGTATGCAGCAGTATATATATTATATCTAACAGGATTATTGTGGGGGGGGGGGGGACTAGAGGAGGCATGCTCTAGGCTTCATAATTGGCAATGATGGTGTCAATCCACTTGGGCTTCTGGCCCAGGTTTTAGCAGTGGCAAGGAGTGTTCTGCACACCTCAAACTGGCGCACCAGTTATGTCTGCTCCTTGAAAGATCAGATCTTCCTGTGGCACGTGACTCGATTGCATCATATTTGGATTACTGTGAGGTACTTATATTGCACTGCCTTTGGAAACTGAAATCTTCAAAACACTGAGGCCACGTTGCTGACTAGGGCAAGTCAACTTCTTGGCAGGGGGTTGGACTAGATGGCCTGCGAGGTCTCTTCCAATTCTATGATTCAATTATTCTAAGTTATAGGGAGCATCTAACCCTCTTGTGAAAAGAACTCCATTGGCTTTCCATTTGTTTCTGGGTAGAACTCAATGGGCTGGTTAGCCCCTTTAAAACCCTACCCAGCTTGAACTAAGACCATCTGAAAGAACATACAAGTCTGTCTGAGCTTTTAAGTTATGTGAGGAAAGGCTTCTTTTCAGTCCCGTCTCCACCACAAGGCTTGTCTGGTGAGGACACAAAAAACAGCATTCTTGGTAGCTGCTCTCAAGTTGTGAAACTCCCACCTATGGGAGGTCTGGTTGCTGGCAGGTAAAAACATTTTCATTTAGAGGCATTTGGTTTTAATGTGCTGCAGCAGATTGAGCTTTCAATGGGAGGGTGTTTTTAATTTTTATGTTTTAAATATATTTTAACTGGTGTTTTTAAACAACTCAGGTTTGATTGTGTTTTAACTTTTGTTTGAATAATTTTTTGTAGCTGTACAGTACTCTGTTTTAAATTGTTGTAATCTGCCATTTAGGGGATATTATTTTCTATTGAAAAAAGTAGGAAAAATCTGTTGCTTCAAAACTTTTTGAGAATTTTACATCTCTGGGCATTTGTTAAATCATGCTGGCTGTAGTTGTGGTCATTTCATACAAGAAAAACACATGATGTTAATCCATGTATTTCTATAAACAGACACAGCCCAGGCAGAATCTTCCTTGCAAGATGCTGCACAGCCAGACCAAGTGGAGTTACTGAAGCATTTTGACCTCAGCTGGGAATATGGTCCTTGCACAGGTAGGAATCAATGCCTGATTTCCACTCAGCCTAAGAGCATATTCTTGAAATGAATGCAGAGTTTCACTATGCCTTTCTCTTCCCCTTTTCTGTGCTGAATTTTAGATTATAAACTCTTTTGGGCAAAAGTTTTCAACTCAATGAAGTGCTGCTTACAAAGATAATGCCCTACAAATCATAGACAAAGGGGTACGCCTCATTTGTTGTTGTCATGTGCCCTCCAGTGGCAACTTTATCAGTTTTTTTCTAAGGCTCACAGAGTGTTACTTGCCCAAAACCACCCAATGGATTTTCATGGCTAAGGAGGGATTCAAGTCCTGTTCTCCAGTTGTAGTCCAACATTTAAATGACTTCACCAGAGTGGCTCTCTAAAATTCTCAGCTGCAGTAGCTTCTCAATGAAGTGGTTACAAAATGCAGCTCTTGACATGCCTCCACCTTTAATCCTGCCCTTTGCTTTGTTAACAGGAATCACCCGTTGGCAGCGCTGGGAGAGAGCAGAGTTGTTGGGTCTCCATCCCCCTGCCACCGTGAAGGAACTACTGCTGAAGTACAGTAAGGATCCCCTTGTCATACACAGGTTGGTATAGACATTTGTCTGCGCCCCATTCCCTAGGTAAAAGAACTTTCTTTTAGGAGCAGTTTTTGTATTGAGCAGCTGCAAGACCCAGCTGCCATTCCCAATCCAACAGGGCAAATATCTCCAGCCATTTACTCTTTTTTTTTTTGCCACTGTGGTCACTTTTGGATATGGTATGGCCTAGACAGAAACCAGGAACAAACTTTTGACCTCAGGCTTGCCAAAGGTGTCCAGCAATAAAGCAGAAGCTTCTGTTTTGGAGGAGAAGGCTGTTGAAATTAGATTGGCAACAGCATTGTACTAGAGCAGTTTCACACTATACGATAGCAGTACAATTCAGCTCGTATCTGCATGTCCTCCTTAGGGCTATAAAGTTTGTGCATCGCCTGCACTAAGTACTCCCAGTGATCGGCATCCAAGTTTTAGGGAGCAGTATTTCAGAATGGTGAAAAGACTTAAAATGACATGTAGAGAAATGCAAGAATCATTTTCACACATTATTTCTATATGTTTACTTCTTGCCTCATCTCCTCCTCTCTAGCCAAGACTTACTGGTCTTGAAAACCGAGAACCGTGGGACGGTCTCTGCCTCCAGATGGATCACTTGCTTAAGTTGACCATAAAATTTTGTCTGATCTGAGGCTGCCATTGTGGCGCTGGAGGAAGCCTAGCCCATTCCAGCTGTTTGACATGGGGCAGGGAAGAAGGCATGTTAAGATGCCAAGGCTGGATTCCCAAGAGAGTAATGGTACTCTGCATTCTTTCCTTGCAGCGTGTGGTATGAATACTCCCTCTGAGAACCACGTGGTGGTTTCCTGGGTCACAAAGGAGCTTCTGCCAATTTGGCATAATTGCTTTATGGATAATTCCTTCATTCCTATAATGGACGTTGTTTTGTGGTGGGAGGCCAGGGCCGTGGAAGAACACCAAGGATTCCTGCTGGTCTTGTCATGGCTCTGTCTTCACCCTGCATGTCTACAATCAGACCAGGCTTATACCAAAAATGACTTTGCCACTTTGAAGAATAAGAGTTCGTTGCATTGATAATGTAGCCTACGCCAAGTTAAAATACTGTTTGCAACTGATTAGTCTCAGTTTGCTGTGACAGACAAATCAACCTCAGAGCCAGGGTTAAATAGTCCTTAAAGTTTTCCTATTGTTTTATTGCATTTTAAAATCCAATTCATTTTTGTAAACATCCTTGGCTGTATAGTAAAACTGACTGAGTGTTCCAAAATGTGTGAAAAGAAGAAATGATTGACTCCTGTATTTTTGTTACATGCTGGTTAATACTGTTCTCTTGCAAAATTGGGGGGAGGGGGGGGCTAACAAGAGACTTGCTTAAATACCTGGATTTGGTGTAGACAGATATTACACAAAATAACTGAGAGTTTCATTAAATAAAACATAATAGGGAGAAAAAAGTGTAACCTTACCATTACAAAACAAACACACAAAAATCAAAAGTGTTCCTTTAATATATTTGAGAACAGAAAAAGAAAACATATTGTGTGCTTTCTTTTTTTAAATAAAACAAAAATTGCCTGAGGAAAGACAAAATACAGGTTGAGACATGTTTTGGATTTTTCAGATTCTGGGATACCTGTATTTCCATATATGTATGCAATGATATCTTGGAGATGGGACCCAAGTCTCAATACTAAATTCATTTACATTTCACATATAGCTTATACACATAGTCTCAAAGTAATTTTATACAATATTTTAAATAATTTTGTGCATTAAGCAGAGTATATATACAGTGAACCATCAGAAAGCAAAGGTATCACTATCTCAACCATCCATTTGAACAATTTTGGAATATTTTGGAATATTCTGGATTACCAGGTGCAGCAATCTTAACCTGAACTTATAGTTTAGGGGAGCTACATTACAGATAAAAAGCCATTTTTGGCTTGAAAGTCAAACATGAATAGTCATTACACTAGAGAATAAGGGAGTAAAGGGAATAGTGATTCTTAGCAATCTGATACAGGGACTCCGCCTGAAACAGAATACAGGTTACTCAAGATGAAAATTTCTTTTCAGCAGTAAACAGAGTACATCCTACTCTGGACTAACTCCTCCCATTCAGCAAGAGGCAGGATCTCTGCTTATCTTTCAGATTCTCAAACCAATGTAAAAAGAATTTTCTCCCAATTTAAGGAAGCAAACCCAGTGCAGGAAGAAAGATTCAGACATCAAATAAGAGTAAGCATCAAACAATATACTTTGTCTTACCTACAGCCAGATTCAATTGGGAAGTTAGCCTCTACCCACTGCTACAAAGGAAATACCACTGCAAGGAACACAAATCAAAATTTCCCACATGATAAGAAAGTATCCTACTCTGGGATGTAGCAAAGAGGACATGCTGGTGAGCTTCTTACAATTTACACTGATTTCTTTCTGCTCCATCTCCCTACTGAAGGAGGCTTCCATGCATGGAAGTATATTTATCCAAACAAAAAAGCTCCAGACCACACTGTTGCATGACAAACATTCATCAATGTGAAACTAAATGTAGCTTATACAGCTCCACTCCTAGGGGAATGGGCACACGCTGATAGAAGAATAGCAGCTGATAGAGTTTGTTAATAGAAGAAAATCAAAACTCTTAATCCAGAAACAGAAAACTTGGAATATATCCACAAACTCCAATCCATAAATACTGAGCTGAACAGAGACAATGGCTTCCTGGCACACTATACATACTGTAATACTAGTTAACAACTTAAGCTCATGAAGGCCCTCTTGGACAGTTTATCATAACTCCTTTTTGGGTTCCCAGCCAGCACACTATATTTCAATACTCCCTCCACTATCATGGTATCAAAGAGTATCAGCACACAATAGCATTTAGCCTAGATCAAAGAATGGCAAGAAAGCACAAGGTATGTTTTGCTGGTAACCTGTAACAGAGAGACAGGTACGAGAGCTGGATTGGACAATGCAAGAAAGCAGTTGGCATGGGCTGTATCCTATTCTAAGGGTACAATCCTATACCCATTTATTTAGGGAGTAGGCCCAAAAGGAATTAAACCAGCTCAATTGCGAACATAATGTATAGGACACGTTAGGAAACCATCCCTACCTATCAAGAGAGCGAATCTGGTCCTACTATCCATATACTTTTCATTCTGACAATAACAGTCAAGGATCTGTGTGTTATTCAGTGAACTAGAATCCACATCCTGTTCTCGTGTAGAAATCCATCAGATGCCTAGAAAATGCATATTTATGTTTATGATCTTGGAGCTGGAATGAAACCTAGGGAAGTGATTAAACTGTACTTACAAGAGTCTGGCAGATATGATTGCGTAGATGAAATCTGCCATCATGCTGTAGTGCAAAGCAAGTTCTTCCAAACCATAAACAAATTGTGGTGAATACTGTTGACAGAATAGTCATCAATTTTCAAAGCCACAGATGATAAAGAATAGAAAATCTCTGTAACAAGAGTGCCTACAAAAGCCACTTCACTACCCTCTGGTGGGGAAACAAAAAAGGGAAGACACATTTTGCTATTCCAAAATTGAGTAAAGCTATGCCTGTCACCCAATGTCTAAGAGAATGCACTTTTATTCTGACTTGGTGCTCTGTTTCCCTCACTCTACTATCTTGAGTCCATACTTTGTTCTGCAATAGAGGAAGAGTCAAGATGTTGGCCAGCACCAAAGTGAATCCCAAGATATTGCCTTTAGCACTTGGGACCCCAACAGTGTCACACAGGATAGCATCCTTCTTTTCCAGATAAATGAATCCCTGAGTTAGAGGTAAGAGGTCCCTGCTGTTGGCTGTTTTGACAGCATATAGGGCAGTTTAGGACATGCATAGACAAGTGGACCCAATCTTCATCCTAGCTGTTGCCCTTGCGGTGTGGAGGGCAAGACACTGCTCGAAGGGCTTGTTCGGGTAGTTGGGCTGGCTGCGTCAATATAGATGTGATCTTGCTGAGGTTTAGGAGGGAACCAGATATAGCTGTGGGGAGAAGGGGAAAAAACAAAAGAAAATGACCCATCCTGATCCATATTTTCTCTCCAACCCTGGCAATGGGATCCTTCAAGTGTCTGAAGAGAGTTATTTATATACAACTATGAAGTCATCTAGAGTTCAACTTTTCAAAACTACAACAGCCAGTGTTCTAAAGTCATAGCTAAGGCAGAATCCCAAGAGTCCACGACTAGGAACTGATAAAAATATCCAAATGCCAGGCAATTATTTCTACCATCCTAGCAAAATAGGAATCCTCTATTCAACATATCACAGGGACTATCGATTAGCATCCAAACAGTTTCTAAACTACCAGCAAATTATCTCTCTCAAATGCTTGGGAGCAGAGGAACACCAAGATGATAACAGTGAACCCAGGCAGATGCCACACAGGATAGCATAGTCTGGGAGCAGGGCACAAGGGAAAGGCTCTCTTTGACACCACTCTCTGAGTTTCACTCTCAGGTACTAAGTTTTTTTTTTTTGTTGTTGTGTCAGGAGTGACTTGAGAAACTGCAAGTCACTTCTGGAGTGAGAGAATTGGCTGTCTGCAAGGATGTTGCCCAGGGGACGCCTGGATGTTTTGATGTTTTATCATCCTTGTGGGAGGCTTCTCTCATGTCCCCGCATGAGGAGCTGGAGCTGATAGAGGGAGCTCATCCACTCTCTCCCCGGATTCAAACCTGCGACCTGTCAGTCTTCAGTCCTGCCGGCACAGGGGTTTAACCCACTGCGCCACCAGGGGCTCCAGGTACTAAAATGAAGGCCCCAGATCTTAATCCAACATAAGGCCAGATCATAATGAGAAGTGATTTGAATTAGGGATTGAATTCTCAAGCTACATAAGGGTCTATAAGCAAAGCCGAGCACTTTCAACTGGGTCTACAAACATAATGGTAGCCAATACAACTGGCCAGAACTAGTGTTATAAGGCCAGACCTTTGAGTCACAGTCATCTGACCATACATACCAGGACGCAAGATGGGCAGGGTGCAGTGCTGCTCCAACCAACTTAATACTGACTGGCGGAACTCCTTGATGCTGGTTGTGTTCACTGTTCTAGTATAGCTCTCAAACAGAGGCTTAATCACCACGCTGAACTGCAGGTCAAGAGGAGTTAAGGAGTCTACACAAACCCAAGTTTCATCACCTAATTTTATACTCTGAAGGGCATCTCTGCCATGTGAAATTTTATCCACCCTCCTCCTCCCAGCTCAATTTGCTCCCTTTGCTGCACTTGAGAGCATCCCACTCCCCCAGATGCTGGTGGATACAAGCCAGAAGCGCCAGTCCTGCAAGGTCCGCTGGTGCACGTAGTCCTCATAGAGCTGGGAAGCCTGGTCTGACTGTGGCGGTAACACAGGAGCTCCATTAGGTGGCAGCTGGCGCTGGTACTCACTACAATCAAGAGAGAAGCCACAGCCCATTTACAAAAAACCCTGGTCCCTTCACTCTATTCTAGTAGCAATTTAAACACTTTAGCCTACATCAGAACTCACTCAATGGCAGTGCTCAGCTCCTCAATCTCACTGCGTAGACTTTCTACTGTCTCCTGAGCTTGTTGGCGCTCCTGCTGCAGTCTCCTGACGTAAGCCACGCTCTTTTGCAGTAACAATGCTTTGCTGAGCTGGTGACAAAGTAAAGATGTAAAACTGCACAAACGCAGTAACAGCCAGAAAGATTCTAGCATGCCCACTGAAATCAGAACGACAGGGACAGTGGCCAACATAGCCCTTTTCCATTGGCTGGTTCGGGATGTGCAGTCCTTTTACTTTTACTTTCACAGAAATTAGGGCTCTGGAATTCTTCAAAAGTGGAGAAAAACACATCTCCAGAACCCTCAAATTGTATTTGACATACACAAAAAGGTACCAGTATTGTTGGGATGTCAGGAAGGTGTTGGGAGGTCTAGGGATGATGAAGGGAGTGCCACCACTGTAAGAGCAGTTACTACAGCCCCCTTCCCACTGGTTTTGTTATCCTTGCCCCTGCTCCAAGCTTTCTCTTTCTCTCCTCCCCCATGGTAACCCAATTAGATGCTAGCCCTCCCTTCTTTGCAATCTCCCATTCCACCTTTACTATGCCTTGCCCACTTGGACAATTGCACAAGGAAATGCATGCACATCCTCCCACCTAGCACTCCCTTTTCCCGCAGCCAGTTTGATTTCCTCCAAGCAACCAAAGATTTGACTGCTACCTAAGCCTGACTACACCAAATACTGTATTCCAAGATGTACAATGTTATCAGAATCCCTGTTAAAATGGTGTAATAAGCCAGCAAAAAATAATCTGTGAATAATCAAATCCATGAAGGTTAACCTCTCAAATGTGGAGAAATTACAATATACCTTAGCATTGTTCTGATCAGATCCTGGCAACACCAGGCTAGCAAGAGTGTTGAAGCCAGAACTGATGATCATACGGCGAGCACAATCAGAAGAAGCAAAACTGGAACGGCAGCTTCCCTGCAAGAGACAATCCAATCAGATCACACAAACACCTACTTATTCGCCTGATCCTTAGCTACATTTTGTGAAATAAAATTTCTTCTCCCACCCTGGCTCCTGATAATTAGATGGAGAAGGGACAAACTGGACTTTCTATTACCTTGGCAGACTGGCGCTTATACATTTCTTGGGGACCGCAAAGAATTTTCTCCTCACATCTCTCCCGAGTCTTGGCACCTGAAAGATTCCCAAAAATAATGGAGTAGGTGATTTTTTAAAAGCAGGATATAATCTTGATATAGAATGCAAACAAATGCAGGAAGTGCACACAAGACACTGCTAAGAGAAGAAGTCAAGCAATTTCACAAATTTTCTAGTCTACTTACCTGTGTCAGGGGAGGCAGGAGGAGGCAAAGGATACTTTTCTGTTGCAGAGACTGCACTGAGTGACACATTGGTAGAGAGCTTCTGGGTGTCACTATCCTATGGAGAAGGTGAAGCAAGGTTAGGAGAGAAAAGTAAAAATAGGAAGGGGAAGAAAAAGGAGAAAAAAGAGAAGGAGAAAGAACAAGATAGAAAAAGAGCGAGTGAGAGAAAGCGCACACCTGTCAATCCAAGAAGGTGAATATAAGGCCATTTCTGGAGGACTCCAAGCAGAGAAGGTGTATGGCAGAAGGAAGGTGGGAGAACTAGAGCTGCTCAGTCCTACCCTTTCCAGAAGATGGCAGAGGAGAGCTCCCTTACCTGTGAAGAGTTCGTGACTGAGGTGAGGGGCAGTGGGGCAGGACCTAAAGATGAGAGAGGGAAAGAGTTCTTTCTTGTTCTTCTAGAGTCTACACCCTTTTTGCTCATTGCTTGGTCAAGAAACAGCATGACCAATGCCCTCTAGCTCAATTTAATTTTTCACTTACAGATGGAAATAGTGTAATAGGCTACATGTGCTTTAACTGAGCCATGCAGTTCTGTGAAATCCAACTAATCATAACTGAAAACATAAGCCAAGGACTGGTATTTTAATAATGGATGCCTTACCCAATACAGTGAATGACTGTTACTGCAACCAATGATTCCAAAAACGTACCTCAAAGGTTTGGGTTCCCTAAAATCATTGAGGAATTTCCTGCAAGTTCTCCCTGGTGTCCACTTTGACTTGGTAGAAATGGAGAACATAACTTATGCTTTCTCTATCTTGAATAGAGAAAGGGCAAGATGGAGAACAAAGTTTTGTGGGTGCAGCTTGTGCTCTTGTAATGTTTATTTACTAAAATTTACAGGAATTGACATCTCCCCTGTTCTGCACAGTATTGCGTGAATCAGTCAACTGGGTGATTGAAAGTGAGATATATATATATATATATATATATATATATATATATATATATATAATAAAAATTAAAAGCCAGTTAAAGCTGTATTGTTAAAATGTATCATATTCTTTAGAGGTTTGTTCACTTTATCTAATGATTTCTGTGTGGAACTATGCAACTTTTAGGAAAACTTTAAAATTCACATATTCAATTGGTTCTATTTACCTCATGAAGCAAGGCTATTTGCTTTAATTAGTATCTGAGAACCACGAAGGGGACTGAAGCAGTATCTTTAGCAAAAGCAGTGCACGATTTTCCTTTCCTTTTCAAAATAGTATCTTTCTGCTCACTCTAATACGATTTTTAATTGTGGGCGGAGCAGCTGGGGAGATATACAATAACACTGTACTCCTACATGTAACCACAGCTACCGCCATACATGCATATTGGTATTAGCTACATGTCTTTCTTAAATCTAAAAAGTATTTTAATCTGATAAGTGTAACAAACTGAACTGTTATGCTATCCCTTGCACAATTTGTCCATGAATTCCTGTTATCTCAATCCTTCCACAATCATCATAGAACTGAATTCTGAATCACTCATTGCAATGCAGAAGTTGTTACCTAATGCACATGGGACTGAACCTCAATTGCTATAGTTAACAAAATAGTAAAAAACAAATTTCCCTGGTCATACATCAATCTTTTCTATACAGAAGATAGTTTTGTAACAACTGAGCAATAAGTATAACTTAAATGTAAACTTGCAATCATGTTCATAAAAAACCAAAAGCTAACAATCTACGCAGCTGCCTAACTGAGGAGCATTAAAACTTGGCTCTAGTGAGACTATCAAGTAAACCTTTCTAAGGCTCTCCAAGGCTACCAAATATGAAGATAATTAAAAAGGGGGCTGCCTGAATCCAAAGGATGACTCTGAAGTACAAATGCAAGGATTCCAGGAAGCTTTTCAAGGTCTCTATTAGGGGTGGGAAAAACAAAGCCAAGAGGCAGCATGCAGTCCCTTTCATCTTTTTTGCATCTCTCCAAGCCCTCACAAATGTGCTGCCTCTCATAGGAGCTGGTGAGAATCTGGGATAATTATATTATTGGGGGGGGGGGAGGCAAAAAATCCCCCCTGCTTGCTGTTCTTGCTGTTAAGAGGACTTTTGTCTTTTCTCTTGGTACCAAGAACCAACTTCTTGCAACCAGCTGCTTGCAGTTCAAAGGATCTCACATGTCATGCCTTCTTCATGTAGCAAGCTGATTCTTGATGCTGAGAGAAAACCAAACCTTTTCAAAAGCTTGAGAGGTGGAAACATGATTCCTGTTGCATCTGCAATTTCTGCACCTTTTTTGCAATAAGGAAGAACTTTCCGTATTTTTGCTTGGGAGAGGATTTTGTTGTGTGACAGGCTCCTTCATATAGACTCTCCCTATTGAACCTTTAGTTATGAAAAACCCTCCAAGTTATCCTTTTAATAGTTTTTTTTTTACAAAACAAATAAAAAATTATAGGGGTTTGAACGTAGCTTTTGAAGGTGGGCCAAGGTGATCCTCCAAACCCTGTTAATTGTCTGTTTCTGTTTCAATACCACTCAACCTTTCCTTATAGAAAGCCCATCCTGGCAGGCACATACCAGTTGTAAGGAGGCGGGTGAAGGTGGTACAAGGAGGCGATGGTTGTTGACTAGAGGAGGGAGCTGGAGCAATCCGTTGCAGCTGTCTGCACCTTCCTCCCATGGCTGTGGGAGAAGATGTGGGTACAGCAAAAGTACTTTCCGATGGGCCTGAGGTTGGTAAGGAGTTATTTTCTGATCCAGTCTGTGTGATAACAGAGAAGACCAAGGCAATCTGAGGCTGTACGTGCAAGACAGAAGGAGCTGGTGGAGGACTGGTCCTCTGTGGAGAAGGATGGAAGGATGGGAGGAAAGTCTGTTGTCCATTGTGAGGTGCAGGTGGCTTCACATCCGGCGAAAGGGACAAGGGCATCAGAGAGTATCCAGGAGATGGGAGTTTGGAAGCACCAGAGACAATAGTAGGCAGATCTGGGTCAGAGTGGCCCAAGGCAGAAGTGTCTGTCACCAGTGCAGGAGCCTTAGGTAGGAAAAGGAGTGAGTTAAGCACCATTTATTTATTTTATTTATTTGCTGCATTTGTTAACCGCCGCTCTCAGCCCTAGGGCGACTCGCGGCGGTGTACAACATATTAAAAACAGTTTACAATCAAGCCACACGAAAAAAGATCAACATATCAAATACACATTAATCTAAATTAATCTAAACTTACACTAACTAATCCGCTCCGTCACATCAGAATCATAATCAATCCCATTCCTCAATTCAGACTGGAATCCCCCAGGAAATACCTGCCATGGAAATCCTACTGCAGCCATCCACAAATGTCAGAACTTCTACCCACCCACCCTTTTGCACAAGAAAAAGCTATTCACAGATGACTTATTTGCAACAAGCATCAGTGGGAGATTTCCCAGAAAAGGAAACAACACACTGGATAAATGTTTACCTCTTACCTGGACTGCAGGCTGAGAATGGCAAGAATTGATGAATTCTGTGAAGAGAATGAAACAACTGTAAAGAGTACAAGGCTAGAAAGGAACAAAAGCAAGAAAGAAGACAGCATAGCCCAAAGCAGTGGTGCTCAACCTGTGGGTCCCAGATATTTTGGCCTTCAACTCCCAGAAATCATAAAAGCTAGTAAACTGGCTGGAATTTCTGGGAATTGTAGGCCAAAACAGCTGGGGACCCACAGGTTGAGAACCACTGGTCTAAACCATGGGAGATATCACTAAGCAGAAATCAGCTGTTAGAAACCAATGAGAGACTATGCTAGAACTGTGGGAGTGGATAAGATTTGCATTTCAGGAGAATCCAGCGGCCATATGGCAGAAACATTCAAATACAGGACAGGGGTATCTGCAGGTTGGGACTGCTGATTTCAGAGCCATGGGATGGAGTGGCAAGAATGAAACTGAACCATGAGAGGAGCTATAATGCTTCAACCACACATTCAGACACTACAAATGTGGCAGAATACCTTCCAGACTTAACTTGCCCAGTTTGTTTTCCCTGTGAAATTTACTCAGAGAGCAGCTGTATAGAACTTTGCCTGGCTGAATGAGAAAATGGAAGTAGTAGGATATACTATGTCAAGCACAGAATGCATTTATGTGGCCTCAGTACAGATATTCAGATATTTTATGCAGACTCACAAAAAGCTAAAGCAGCCAACAGATCTGGTGCTAGAACACACATCACATTAACCTGGTGATGAAATATGACCACTACTATGTTTATTATAAAGAAATAAAATGGGAAAATGATCATGCTGTGTATGTAGCAGACAACAGTGGTTGCATTACAGCCGCAGTTCCAATATGTGGAGGAAAAAATCCAAATATTCCTATAACTCTTATTTGCAGTGCCTGTTGGGACAGACAAGAGGAATTCAAAGGGGTCAGAAGGAACAGAAGTGACTAGAAGCAAGACTGAACCACCGGAAACCATGATAAATAGAAAAAGAATGAGCTATACTGACTGCAAAAAGCACAGAGAAAATAGATAAAATTGGTGCTGTGAGTGTTCTGGGCTGTCTGGCCATGTTCCAGAAGCATTCCATTCTGATGTTTTGCCCACATCTATGGTAGGCGTCTTTAGAGGTCGTGAGGTCTGTTGGAAACTAGGCAAGTGTGGCTTATATATCAGTGGAATGTCCAGGGTGTGAGAAAGAACTCTTGTCTGTTGGAGGCATGTGGATGTTGCAATTAGCCAGCTTGATTAGCACTGAATGGCCTTGTGGCTTCAATGCCTGTCTGCTTCCTGCCTGAGGGAATCCTTTGTTGGGAGGTGTTAGCTCCCCATAGAGAAAATATTTTGCAGGGGGAGAGGAGAAGAACATTGATGAGAAGGAGGAACTAATCCATACAAAACAGGTATTACGCTGGATCATAGTACGATTTCAACTTAAGAGCCGTGTGGACCAACAGATGCTCTAAGAGCAAAAAGAATATGACCTGAACTGAGAAACACCACTGAATATATCCTAAGCATGAATAATTTATTAAAGATTTTGTCAAAATGATATATGCTTAAACTTTTAATTAACATTTCCCAAATATAACAACAAGCATCTTTTAATGAAAGCAGATGCTCTAAGTGCAATTTTCCTGCTTCCTGGCAGGGGGTTGGACTGGATGGCCCACGAGGTCTCTTCCAACTCTATGATACTATACACAACAAAAGGTGAAATCTTTCTGTTCAAGTGCCAGCCAGCCTTTCCCTTTCATTCCATTTCTTTCTCCACAGATTTCTATCATGCTCCCCAAAAATGTCAGTTAGTGTTTTGTGACCACTGAGGATGCTCAGTTCTAGCTGACTTATTTGAGGCTCTCCCGGCTTTAATCTTATGATTTCTTCCAAGTTTGCTCTGATCTCCATCTTATCAAGGGACGGTATTGTTTGAGTCACTTAAGGAGCACATTCAGATAATAAGTTTGTTCTTAGTAAACAAAAAGTCAACAAATTTAGCAAGTGTTTACAAATACATAGTTTTAGAGTTTTACCAAAAACAACATCTTTCCCAAACAATATTCTGTTGTGTCCTTGTGTGAACTAGAATTCTGAACTCACAACACACTAAAAAGGGCAATGGCAGGTCTCATCAGCTCTGCCCCTCATCCAGTCTAGGTGAGACCTAATACTATTTACTCAGAGGTTACAGGTCAGCCTCTCAGAATTTACTGATTAATGTGTGGGTTTGAAAAATAACCCAGCTTTTACCGATATTTGATTTGGGTTATTTATTTAATTAAAATATTTCTAGCCTGTCCTATATTAGGGTAGCAACAAACAACAAATACAAGAACAGCAATAACAAAAATACATCAATATGAAAAGCGTTAAATCCACAATTCTGCATGCAGCTAGTGATATTGAGTCAAACTGTGTTACAGTTAGCATGACTCAAAAGTTTGGATAAATAAATATGACAACTTTATGCTGAAATGAGACTAGTTTTATATATATTTATTGTGTTTTAGCTTTTGTCTCATGTATTTAATATGTGCATATTTTAATATAGTGATGTTTTAATATGTTCTTTTAGAGATATATTTGACTATATTGTGTCTCACCTTGAGACAATAATAAATTATTCATCATCACCATGCAAGCCTCTCAGGAGATTGCATTCCACAATCAGAGTGCCACAGCTAAGAAAGCTCTCTCTCAAGTCATAAAAACTGCTTCAGGGGGGAATAAAAATTCTGTCCATAATATGCCATACCCGACTACTGAGTTCTGCTTAGCCATATGAGGTGATTACTTTATGCTCTTACCATGAATAGGGTCCAAGGTGTCCATGAACTCCTCTCCAAAGATGGGGTGCAGTTGGGTCAGGGTGGGTTGGATCATGTCTGCATTACCCTGATGAGCTGAGGGCAAAAAATGATAAAGATTAGCATCCATTGGTTATTCTGAAAGATTATCCACCACCATACCACTCAATAGCAAACTAAGACGAGTTTATTTGGGAAGCCCTCAACCACCGTGGCATCCAGACAAGACAGAGGTCCTCCTTGTCAGCTGAAAGGCTGACTGGAGTACAGGATGACAACAGCAATGGCCAGGCTGTTAATGTACTTATTTATTTCATGGGACCTAATTATAGGGAGCACACCATCCCCTACTAAAAGAGCTCCACTGGCTACCTATATGTTTCCAAGCCCAATTCAAAGTGCAGGTTATTACCTACAAATCCCTACACAGTTTAGGTCCAGTCTATTTGCATAACCATGTCACCTCCTATGAATCTACTCAGGCCCTGAGATCTGCCAGGGAGGTCCTTCTCACAGTCCCACTCCCATCACAAGAGTTGCTGCCGGGGATGAGAGAGAGGGTCTTCTCGGTGGTGGCCCCTGGCTCTGGAATGCCCTTCCCAAGGAGATTAGACTGGTCAAAAGAGGAAAATCCTAGAAAGAAATGGAACGAGTACAAAGCAATGACCTTTACCAAGGCCACGTAGGTTGGGGCCACCATAAGGGTTGCGGCTGGAGTAGATGGTGTCAAGAAAAGCTTCCAGATCATGCAAAGGGTCAAGATCCATGGGGCTTCCACTTGCCATTTCACTGTTCATCTCTATCCCTGGAAAAACACTCTCTACTTCCTGTTTAGAATAAGAAGAAAACAGCTGTGAACTTCAGTATAATTGTGGGAAATTCAAATGAAAGACTGGAATGCTTAGTAGTTGCAGATAACATCTTAAACATCTCCAGTTTCAACCTCTGCAAGAGAGGAAGAGGAACCTCAATGTAGTACTGGGCTAAACAAAGTATAAAAATAGCACCTGAATAGGACCACAGATTGGTTTATCCAGCTTCTTTTGGACCTAAAAGAAAACCAACAGAATTGTTACGATTAGCACAGATTTCTCAGAGAGCTACAAGAGATTAGAAATAATTAAAATAAGGTATTTGTTAATATGTTTTCAATAATGGTATAACTAAATTACCCTACAACTCAGCAAGGAAGAGCTTCAACTCTTTGGCACTATAATGGTAACTTAACTTATTTTATACTTGCAGGGTTGTGATCTCAAAAAATCATGAAAAAAGCATTGCATAAATACAGACTCATACTGCTTCTATAAGCTCTGTTGTGGGTGAGGATGAGGTACATGGGAGGAGTCTGTATTCTCTACCATTGGCCAATGGTTGATTTAGATTTTAAGATATTTTAAAGTATAGTAGTTACAATTGGGGGGAAAGGGGAAATTGCTACTTTAAAAATGCTTCAATAATGACAATAATGGGAGGGATGGAAGGCTGGAATAATGGTTAAAATTCATTACTTTTAAAAAGTAACTTTCTGAGTTCTCAGCACATTTCAGCTACCAGGATCAGGAGATGGTTTGGTGATGGCATCTTGTGCAAGCAGGAAAAATGTCAAGAGCATCTGTTAGAGCATCTGAAGATTATAACCTTTGGCCGAATGCATCTGCAGTATTAAGGTAAAGGTTTCCCCTTGACATTAAGTCTAGTCACGTCCAACTCTGGGGGGTGGTGCTCATTTCCATTTCTAAGCCAAAGAGCCAGCATTGTCTGCAGACTGCTCCAAGGTCATGTGGCTGCCATGACTGCACGGAGCGTCATTACCATCCCGCCGGAGTGGTACCTATTCATCTACTCACATTTGCATGTTTTCAAACTGCTAGTTTGGCAGAAGCTGGGGCTAACAGTGGGAGCTCACCTCATTCCCGGGATTCGAACCACCAACCTTTCAGTCAACAAGTTCAGCAACTCAGCAGTTTAACCCCCCACACCAATGGGGGCTCCCTGCAGAATTATCTGTGTACTAATACCAGGTCACCTTATGACTACAGGTTATGAATTCTAAAGGATCCATCTTATTACAAAAGTCTGGGAATCCAAGATCTCTCAGGATAGTCTGACATAACAAGAATTGTCTAAGAACAAAACTAGGATGGAAAAAATCACCTCATGAGGAAGGAATGTTATATGAAGTATATCTTGCTTCAGAAGAAACTTACCTGAGTATGGAAAAATGTCCTCCATTTGTGATACTCCCTAATAACAACCCCAATTTGCCGTTTCCAGTACTTTCCCTCCATGATGACAGCCTGCCAAAAAATGCAGCAAGGGTCACTTAAGAACTTATGGAGAATATTACTTTAAGCTCAAAAGGTCTACATATAACCCCTGCTCACCTCAGGCTTGCGGTGCTCATCTACATCACTGCACTCCAGTGGAGTCACAAAACCACACACAGGATTCTGCTGCTTCTCCACATCTGTACCCAGAATGAACAAGAAAGAGAGCTATGAATTCCAAGGGCAGTTCAAGGCATACAAACAAAGAATGACATGTCTTCACACCCAACAACAAAACAAGCTGATTTTTATCAGTGTGATGTTTTGCTTGCAGTCTACAATTCTGTAAGAAATACCGCAATCTCTTGGGCTATAGAGCTTGTGTACTCTCTTAAACTGGGCAGGGACTCTTTATTAGAAGTCTTTGACTTTACCCTGTTCCAAGCTACTCACACTGGAGATACCAGGCCCTCCATATGGCATTGTTTAGTCGGATCTTGTCACGCTGCAGTAAATTCAATCCCTTGAAGGTTTTCCATTTGGGAGAGACAATTTTGCCACTGGAAATGAACCAAAAGACCACAGTATTACAACCTCAGTTGTATTTGGTTTTCAAGTATGAACAAACCAAATAAAAGCAAGAAAGCACAGAACATGGGGAGCAAGAACATCTGTCTCTATATATGTTATCTGCCCCATAACATACAAATATAGCCACAGTCCTTTCTATTTTCTGAGTAACAGCAAACTTGTGAGGGGAATCCTGTCACCACCACCACCGCTAAAAAAAACTCTAAACATGTGTGCAAGTGCACATCTTACATTCATATTCACTCAATGTACATGCTTTATTTCACATTAGATGATTGGATGTCTGGCCTCAGTACAGGCTGAGGCTTATTGGATTTGCAATTCAACATATCTTGAAAAGTCACAGATTAGAATAACAGATTAGAATCAAGCAGGCCAAGTCCTTGCACTTTTTTGTCTTTACACTTAGTCCAAAAGGAAACCTTAGAAAGAATGTAATACATTCAGTAGGAAACTGTTTTATGTTGGAAATCTGGAAAATCTGTAAATAAACATATTAAATGTACTAAATAAAGGCCAGAACAAAAATACAGTTCTGAGTACAGGATCTCTTAATTCCAGTAGGGTGTCAGCAACTATTTAGGATAATTTGCCAAGAATCTGCCAAATACAAATTAAAACCTTTTCTTTTGAAATTTAATGGGATGTTCCTTTGCTGACTTGGTGCTTTCAGAGATTTAGTCTTTTAGAAAATTTAAGAATCTTGAGATACCATAAGAAAGGCACATCTCTTAAGTGGAAGCTAAAGCAATTATACTAAGGGGTGCGAATTTTGCCCTTCTTATTCTTGTTAAGAATGCTGGAACATTCGAGGCTTACGCATCAAGGAAAATAAAAAATGAAAAGAAAGGAAATGACAGAAGAAGTCAGTCTCTTGAGCAGACATTTTCGTCCCCAAGTTTAGCTTTCAGCTAGAGATGCTACTTTTCAGTTTCCAATTAGAGGTCTTTTGCCACTGCCATTTTTCTACCTCCAGTAAGGGTGAATCTACACCACAGAATTAATGCATTTTGTAGAATAAATGCATAGGCCAATGCTATGGGGCTGTAGGAATTGTAGGCTTGCAAAATCTTTTAACTTTCTAGTAGATTTGAAGATCGCCTTAAAGGGGATTCAGTGAAAGAAAACATGTGGGTAGTTGTGGGTTAGTTATGTGATCCACACGGAGTGGTGTCGGAGGTCATGGGGGTTGGGTTCACGGGTGTGGGGTTAGAGGGAAAATAAATGTTAATGTATTATAACTGTACAGTCAAAGTTGATTTTTCATATGTTTAACGAGCACTGACTGTATACTATTCTGTAAACTTGCATACAAAAGTATATCCTTTTTTTCTTTTCTGTTTTTTTTGTTTGTTTTCTATTTATTACTGTTTTCCTCTGGTGTCGGTTTTGTTTTCTGTATGCACTATAAACCAATAAAAATTAATTAAAAAATCTTTTAACTTTCTCTGCCATGCCTCACCAGACTACAACTCGCAGAATTCCATAGCATTGCGCTATAGCAGTTAAAGTGATGTCAAACTGCATCAATTCCACAGTGTTGATATATCCTAAGGGTGCTAGACAAAAGGAAGGTGTATCTGAATTCCAAACAACTGAAGATATCTTAACAGGGCTTCCTTCTCTTGATTTAAATTAATTTCAGATATTTTCCCTCACCCATCATGTACTCAGTCATTTAAAACTGGCACCAACATTTATTTTGTACCAGTTTTACATGTCCTAGTACCTGATAGGTGGAGAGAGAAAATGCATTTAAAAGCTGAATTTTGAGGCCTTTTGCATTAAAATCAAGCACTATGTACTTTGGGTGAAAATACATTAGCTACAATAAACATTCTATGTCCCAGTGAGGGAGTGGTCGTTTTAATTATTTATAGAAAAGAAAGAAAAAACCCAAAGATCATGAAGACCTGAGGTGGACAGTCAGTTTGGCACCGAGAATTAAAGCAAACCTTTTTTCAAGGATAAACTGGACTCTTTAGATTTATAAACCTAAATTTCAGAGCTTTAGCTCTTGAATTTGGCCCTGCCCAGCAAAATCTTCTGTGTTTTTAATGTTTGATTTTATTTTGTTATGTCGCTTATTATATTGGTTTTGCATTTTATGTATTTTTTGTTTGGTTCTACTATTTTTTGTGTTATATTGTGTGTACTGTATTGATGGGCGTGGCCTCATGTAAGCCGCACCGAGTCCCCCTGAGGGAGATGGAGCGGGGTACAAATAAAGTTTATTATTATTATTATTATTATTATTATTATTATTATTATTATTATTATTGTAAGCACTAGGCATAGGTTTCCTAGCTTTATTCTAGTCTACTTTCTTCCCCCAAAACATGGTAATGTTGAGCATGACTTTCTCTGGAAGTCTTGAAAAAAGATGTCAAAACATTCCCAAGCAATCTACTTCCTCTTGTGCATGTTAAAAATGTTAAGCCTAATGATAAAACCTGACAGTATAATGTAACTTTAAAAAAATTCCAAAATACAACAGTTGTTACTAAAACAGACCAAAATTTTTTTATGTTAAACTGGGGTGGGCAAAATGTGCCCTTTGAGACTTTTGTTGGATTACAACTCTCATCTGCCATTAATAGTGCTGGGAGTTTTAATGTAGCACTTATTGCCTTAATCATTAAAATTAAGCACAAGGGTTCATAGGAAACACCCATGAAGAATATAAAAGGGGAAATGGGCAGATATACATGTGCGCACTATGTTTCTTCATCTTATATTCCACTATGAGGGATAAACCACAGATATCTATCATTTCTGGTAGTGCATACCCCACAATCCTATGATTTTACATTTCTAGTACTGGGGAAGTTGTGGTGCTGCTCTTGTCATAAATTTCTTCAACTTAGAAAGAGCACCCATGTCAACCATCTATTGAATGTGTCCTATCAGGAAGAAACATTATTTAAGGTAACTTTTACATAAAAAGGAATCTTTAAAAGGTTTTACTGCTTACTAAACAAGTGAGACAAGATCTGAGAGACAATGAAATTGGAAAAAGAAAGAAAAGAAGTTAAAATAATTTGCATAGGCCAGAGATATGGTCTAAGCAGGAAGATTTAGTGACAGTGATAACAGCTTCTCCCCTGATTCCCACTGTATGTGTCAGAAATCCCATATTTGAATATCACTCTTGTTTTTAATGCTGTTGTTTCTGTGTGCCTTATGGCAAACCTATCACAGAATTTTCTTGGCAAAGTTTGTTCAGAGAAAATTTTCCTTTGCTTTCCTCTGAGGTTGGGAGATTGTGACTTGCCCAAGGTCATCCAGTAGGTTTCCATGGCTGAACAGGGAGTTGAACCCTAGCCTCCAGAGTCATAGTCAAATGCTTGTACCACTATACATGGTTCTGCCCTGTATGTAAAACCTGTATGAAAATCATTCACTTATACTAAAAGTCTAGCATGCCTGTATTTATAGCATTATGATGGAAAACTATGTCTACCTCTAGGTGCATCCCTCCTATTGCTGGTCAGATGTTGAATGCTTTGTGGCAATACCACACACACTTTTGCACTCATGGCATGATGTTTGCAGTTAATGCTGAGATTCCTTGCATATTGCATTATGACTGATCTACTTCTGGTTCTGAAAAGACTGCTTTGCTACCCACTACTTGGTTTTTACATATTTCACTAACATAAACTTTTAGTTGTGTTTAGGACTGAAGCTTTTTAAATGGACTTAAGAGAGACTAGTGCAGTTTTTTAAACACCAGAATACATATTTTAACCTTCAATGTACTGTTTTTCATAAGAAAAATACAAAATGTGTCATGGGGGATATTACTTTTTACAGCAGATGGGCAAAGTGCAATCTCAGGGCATTAAGTACACCCCAAGGCTGTTTTTGCAGACTCTGACCACTCCTCCCATTCTCTAGGCTGGCAAAAAGAAAAGGGATATTGCCTCTCTTGGAAATCTCCAGTAATGCCAATTCACTATTTAAAGAGGCCATACAGTTAAGCATTTTAAATATATATACCTAAAAATAGAATTTGACATTAGAAAGTTTTGGCTCAGTTTTACTTTTTGACAATCTGTGCAGCCCCCATCAAAATGGTCCCCAGATTGCTAAAGTTATCCGATCCTGGGTTTGCAACATTAGCTTAAGGAATTCAAGGCAACTTGGAGAGCACAGATTTTGATTACTGATGCTAAATAACTGGTCACACAAGGTAGCTTGTGGGGTGGGGGGAAGCAAAGCAAATGAGGTACAAAGCAGAGAGGTACAAAGTTATTCATCATGTGTTGACAAATAAGTGGAGATAGCCAGTGAAGTGGACAGCATGGTTTTCAGATGACTAAAAGCAAGTCACCTTCATGAGGTGCACAAAGTACACACAAGAATCGGTAACAGCTGCCAACCCAAACAGCTCTAGAAGGGCATTTTAGACAATGTCATAGCTATCAATGGCTATTTGATCCTTTTTTTCTCCAGGATCACTGCTTGCTGGGGACATACAGCATGGGAAAGGTGCTTTTGTTTGATCTGTCAGCTGCCAAATCTGATCATTTGTAGGACAACATACATCAGTAGTTTGAGCTTTCTTGTGTAATTTCTATTTTTGAAAATGCAGAGAATCATAGAATCCTAGAGATGGAGGAGACAACAAGGGCCATCCAATCCCATTCTGCTATACAAAATCCCACCATCAAAACACTCCTGACAGATGGTCATCAAAGCACTCTGTTTAGAAACCTCCGGAGAAGGAGACTCCACCACATCCCCAGGCCACATATTCCACTACCAAACAGCTCTTATTGTCAGAAAGTTTATTATTTATTTATTTATTTCATATACTTATACCCCGCCCTTCTCACCCCTGAGGGGGGCACATCAAGCACCATTCAGTGCCATCATAATGGTAATGGTTCATAATGATAAGAACCATCAACAAATTCATTAAAACAAAACATTAAATAAACAGTTGTTAAAACACACCAATTAAAATCTGGGTCCGGGTCAATTTACTGTCACTTCAAAATTGCTTATGTCTTCTTCATACAAGCCGCTGTTCAATGGTCAAATGCAAGGTCCCACAGCCAAGTCTTGAGTTTCCTTCTAAGGGACAGGAGGGAGGTGGCCAGTCTGATGTCTTCGAGAAGGGAATTCCACAGATGGGGAGCCACTATTGAGAAGGCCCTGTCTCTCGTCTCCACCAATTGCGTTCGCAATGGCGGTGGGATTGAGAGCAGGGCCTCTCCAGATAATCTTAAACTTTGTGACGATTCGTAGTAGGAGATACATTCTGACATGTAGTCTGGGCCAGAACCATTTAGAGCTTTAAAGGTTAAAACCAGCACTTTGAATTGTGCTCGGAAGCAATAATGTTTAGGTGGAATCTCTTTTCCTGCAATATGAATCCAATGCTCCATGTCCTTGTCTCTGTGAGCAGCAGAGAACAATCTTGCCTCCTCCTCAAGGTGGCATCCTTTCAAACACAGCTGTCGTATCTCCCCTTGGCCTAAACCTTCCTTTCTCCAAGCTAAACATATTATTTATTTATTTAATAATAATAATATAATGAGAGAGAGAGGGCCTTCTCAGTGATTGCCCCTCGGCTATGGAACTCACTTCCTGATGAGATTACATCAGCTCCTTCTCTCCTGTCCTTCAGAAGAATGATGAAAACTTGGCTGTGGGACCAAGCTTTTGGGACAATGCAATAAGGCAGCAATAGGAAACCTTACCATGCCAACCAGATTTGATGCAGATGATTGAGACGGTTTTAAACAGTGGATTTTAATGTTGAGATAAATGATTTTAATATTTATTTATGTGTATAATCTATTTATGTCCCAGCATTATATGTTTGCTGCTTGTATGTTGTGCTCCACCCTGAATCCCCTTCGGGGTGAAAAGGGAGGAATATAAATGTTTTAAATATTTATTTATTTACCACATTTGTACCCTGCCCTTCTCAATCCTGAGGGGGACTCTGAGTGGCTTTACACATCGGCAATAATTAAATTCCATAAAACCATATCATTAAATAAACATTTATATTATAAATCCAGAATTAAAATATCAAACAATTATAAGCAATTATTAAAATCACGTTGTCCAAATCATAGTCCAGTGCCATTCCAGATGTTATTGCACAGATTTTACATTCATTTATTCATACCCAGCTGCCTAAACCTAAGAAAGCCTTTATACCAGTGGTTCTCAACCTGTGGATCCCCAGATGTTTTGGCCTTCAACTCCCAGAAATCCTAACAGCTGGAAAACCGGTTGGGATTTCTGGGAGTTGTCAGCCAAAACACCTTGGGAACCACAAGTTGAGAACCACTGCTTTATAGAGAGCTGATATAATGTAGTGCTTCCAGCATTAGACTACAACCCTGGAGACCAGGTTTGAATCCCTGCTCAGCCCTGGAAATCCATTTTGGGCAAGTCATGGTCTCTCAACCTCAGACGAAAGCCCCTGAACAAATCTTGCCAAGAAAACCCCATTGTGAGCTTTGTAATAGATTGGAAATGACTGGTTTTGAAAAGTCCAATAAGCTTAGCTTTTGGTTGCTGTATGATGAATTGTGTTTTTATGATGTTTGTATATGTAATTTAATCATGTATATTTTAACTCTGTTTGTCTGGGCTCGGTCCCCATGAAAGCCACCCCAAGTCCCTTCGGGGAGAGGGTGGTGGGATACAAAAATACAATTGCTATTATTATTATTATTATTATTATTATTATTATTATTATTATTATTATTAGAAACACAACAAGATGGGTTCACAGCAGACACTCTGCTGGCTGTTGTATTGGTTCACACATCGGACACTTCCCAAGTGTCTAGGACTATGTGATGTATCGGCGAATAATGTGTGCAGATCCCAGTAAGGTGGCCTTCTGCAGCTGGCAGATGGTAATTTTGTCAGCGCCAATTGTATTTAAGTGCAGGCCAAGGTCTTTAGACACAGCACCCAGTGTGCCGATCACCACTGGGACGACCTTTACTGGCCTGTATCAGAGTCTTTGCAGTTCGATCTTGTCATCTTTTCCAGTTGTTTCTCTTCAATCCTGCTGTCACCTGGGATTGCAACATTGACAATCCATATTTTGTTTTTTAACACGATTGTGAGGTCAAAAGTATTGTGTACCAAAACTCTGTCTGAATTCAGAAGTCCCAGAGGAGTTTGGCGTGTTCATTCTCTGTAACTTTTTCCAGCTTGTGATCCCACCAGTTCTTTGTCGCAGGCAGATGGTATTTTTGGCACAGGCTCTAGTGAATTATTATTATTATTATTATTATTATTATTATTATTATTATTAGACAGGAAACAACAATAACCTCCTGTACAAACAAAGGCTACGTCCACACTGCAGAATGAATGCAGTTTGGCACCACTTTAATGTAGTTGGGAGTTTTTCAAGGTCTTTAGCCTTCTCTGCCAAAGCGGGCCAAATTACAATTGCATGGCATTGAGCCAGGGCAGTTACAGTGGTGTCAAACTGCGTTAATTCCACCGTGTGGCGGAGTTCCCCTCTCCTTGCCCCCCCCTTCCCTCCCCCTCACCTGTAGGCCAGAGTCATGCACTCGAAGAGCTTGGAGAGCGAGGCGTCGATGTTGAGGGCCCCGCTGCTCCGCGGCCCGTAGCGGTAGACCAGGCAGGTCCCCTGGCCCCCCGCGCCTAGGCCCTGCCCCGAGGCCGAGGCCTGGTCCGCCGCGCAAGGCCCCGGGCCCTCCCGTCGGGCCGGGCTCAGCTCCGCCTCGGGGTCCGGCTCGGGCTCGGCGTGGGGCTCCGACACCATGAAGTGGCCGCTGTGGATGATCTGGGGGCGCGCCATCTTCCCGGGCCTGGCGCATCTCTAGGCGGCCCCGAGCAAAGGCGCCGTCGCCGTGGCAACCGTCCCCCGAAGAGAGGGAGGGGGCTCCGCGCCCGAAGACGAGGCCGAGACACAGGAAGCAGGGAGGCTGGCTACTCCAGAGCCTCCCGAAGCCTCCTCCTGACAGCTCCCATAGCAACACAGGGGAAAGTCATGCTGCGCATGCGCCATCCTGATGACGCCTCCGCCGCAAAGCATTGTGGTTTTCATAGTTCTTCCCCAGCTTCCTGCAAGAACCCCATCTCAAAATAGAGAGCTCTTCCGCACAGCCCTATAGCCCAGAATATCAAGGCAGAAAATCCCACATTATCTCAGTGTGGACTCAGATAGCTCAGTTCAGAGCAGATATTGTGCGATTTTCTGCCTTGATATTCTGGGATATGGGGCTGTCTGGAAGGGCTCATACTATATGAAGGTGGAGACTTGGGGGCCCTCCACACAGCCATGTACATGACTCAGAATATCAAGGCAGAAAATCCCGCAATATCTGCTTTGAACTGGGTTATCTTGAGTCCACACTGCCATATATTCCAGTTCAAACCAGATAGTGTATTTATTCAGCTGCGTGGAAGGGGGCCTTGGGGATTAGCTTGCTTCCTGTGCATCTGCACTGTGGAATGATTGCGGTCTGACACCACTTTAGATCATGGGACTTGGAGTTTGGGGAGGCACCAGCAGTCTTTGGCAAAGAAGGAAAAGACCTTGCAAAGCGACAACTTCCAGATCCCATAGCATTGTGCCAGGGCAGTTCAAAGTAGTGACAGATTGCATTCACGCTACAGGGGAGAGGACCCCACAGACACACATGTCAAAATGAAAAGCTAATTCTCTGCCAAGAACCTATGAGTATTGTGGCAGCAGCTTAACACAGGCCTGGGCAAAATTGGGCCCTCCAGGTGTTTTGGACTTCCTAACAGCCTCAGGCCCCTTCCTTTTCCCCCTTTAGCTGCTTAAGCCGCTTCCAAAGCATAAGTTGCTAGTATTTATAAGTCATATCAGTAATGTGTTGTTGGCTTCTTGGTAGATGCTCTTTGCAAGTGCATCTGACGCTTGAAATGCTTACTACAGTTGTAAACTCCTACAGAAAATAAGTGTATAGTATTGAAAGGATGCAATGAGATGTGTCCCTAATAATAGATTGCCAAGAAAACAATGGAAGCCTTAATCCAATCAAAACCTCACAATGGAGGTGCATCCCACATCTGGTTTACAGCAGTACCTCCCTTCAAAACTATTTTGTAAAGTATTGTCTGAATGAACAGATGCAAAAAAAAAGTGCAATTAGCTCCTCTTTGTTTTGTTTTGGGGATTATTATTATTATTATTATTATTATTATTATTATTATTATTATTATTATTGAGGCTGAGGGGGGGAAAGGGCCTGAGGCTGTTAGGAATTTTGGGAGTTGGAGTCCAAAACACCTGGAAGACCCAAGTTTGGCCAGGCCTGGCCTAACACAATTACATCTGTATATATGTGCCTTCAAGCTACCTGTAAGCTTTGCAAATTTCATAGGACTGCTTTAGGCAAGGAGAAACCCAGAGGTGGCGTTGCCAGTTCCTCCTTCTGAAATAAAACCTAGAGCAGTACTTCTTAAACTTTTTTCCACTTGGAATCCTTGATTTTACTTTTTGTGGCATACAGCCAAAGCATTTTCTGCATGTTGTCAAGCCACAATGACCCCCCCCCCCAATTTATAGTTCTCAAATTCTTTATTATTTTCTAAATATCCTTTTAAACTTTTGCAATTTCGAAGCATCTGGGATTGAGAACAAACCAGCAGCAACTTCAACCCCCCAAAACTTTATCATTCCAACCCTTCAATAAATTATATGTTTTTCTTGAGTTTCCATGTAAATTGTATCTTTCTCTGTACTTACAAAATGTAAGCAGATAAGCCCAGAGACAGTCACCTCTTCCTAATCCTGCTGAGGAATTTCCAGAGAACAAGAAGATTGGGCAAATCCCTCTGGCTGTTTCCCAGCCAGTCATCATAAACCATTGTTCATGTATGCAGAGATAGTTTCCCGTGTCAGCCCAGATAGGCACAGAATTATTTGCCTATCTAAATGGTATACTTGAGGCTGAGATAGCTGACCGTGGAAATAGAAGTTGAGAGTATGTATACTAGTCAAACCTTTTATTGACATCCCAGCCCTTGATTGCTCAGAATCACCTTTTATTTTATGAGCCTTGCACCTTTGTCCGCAGAAGATCCTACTGTTGTCAAACTCAGAATTGGACCATTAAGCTAATCAATAGCTCATTATTTCTTTAGCATTGTCTTTGCAAGTGACACCTCCTCCCAAGGGACGCCCTATTAGGTGATTGGCCTGTCAGCCAGCCAATCCCGAACTCTCATTTCCCCACAAAAGGGAATCCCCACCTGGAGGTGGCAGTGTCAGTAGCACCCTCAACCAATCAGGGCATGGATCCAGACCTGCCCCTCTCTCTCAACCAATAGAGGAAATGAGAGGGGTTTTTTTAAATAGCTGTCAAACTATATAAGACTTCCTCTTTATGTTTTGTGCTTGTACACTTTGAAGTATCTGCTTGTACTTGCATAACTTCTGGCTGAATTGAATAAACCTCTATGGCTTGTCTTCAATCTGGTGTTTCCCTATCCTGGCCCATTTGGTTTAGCTTGTGCAAGTCCTTTTATCCACAGTCCTAGTTATCCACTTCATATTGAGTCCACTGCAAACACTGTACATGGTTGCTAACAGATTTGTGTAAATGGTTGACACCCAGAAACCTTTTACTGTGACCAAGTTTTTGTGACCCCAACATTGAACTAAGGGGACCCCATTTGGCATTGGCATTCACAATTTAAGAAGCAGTGATCTAGAGCATTATTCAATGATCTCCCAATTAAGTGGCAACCAGGTCTGACCCTCCTTAGCTTTTAAGATTAGATAGGATGTGATATCTTTAGTGTATTATAATGAAATGGGGGACACAATTTTCTCCTTGTATTCCTTGTAGGGCAAAGAAGGAGAAAATGTAACTTCATATATGACTTCTATGAAAGTGGGTTTCATGTCACATTCAAACCCAATGATTTTTTTAAAAAAAAAGAAACACTGAAGCACACCGAATCAAAACCAAGTACTAACTTTTGTCAAATCCAGTCCCTAACATGTGAGGATAAGAAAATACTGAATATTGAAATCTAAAATGCTTGTGATGCATCTGAAATAGTTGACAGGTTTCAAAACTTTATTTTTATTTTAGTACTATTGGGTTTGCTGAGTCTGTGATCTGGTATGCAGATTTGTAGCATAATAACAAAATATTTTAAGTTATTGCATCTTCTCATAGACCTCTCCCTCATACTATGCAGCAATTCAGTCATTCTTTTCTAAAACCTTTAACCCTTGTTGGCTCCCACCAACAGAACGGAGACAGCTATGTCAAGTTCTCATGAGAAAGAAAAGGAATGTTAATAGTATATTGAAGGTCTCATAATCTTTTAATTGTTTTTTGTTCCTCTGTTCAGCCTTTTGTAAATAAACCCTGCTTAATTCACGTAGTCTGCCATTTGTTGTTGTGGCTCTGTGTGAATCTCAGCCAAGTATCATTCAAAGGAAGTTTGTTACCACACTTTCAGGTTGTCTATTATTTCTGAATACCACTTATTCTGCTTCCCTGTGCTTGCCATAGATGAAACTCAGCTCCTGAAACTGCTGTAGCCCCCTCAAAATATGGGATATTTTAGCAACTGGCTGCTAACAGGTAGGTATTTCATGAGGCACAATGGAGCAACTACTTTTGTTAAAAGTTCACGTCACAAAAAATTGGCAACAGTAATAGGTTTGTGAATGCCACCCATTTATACAAATCTGTTAGCAATCACTTGGCAGTGTTTACAGTGGAGTCTGCAGAAAATGCTTCACAAAAAAGAAAAATCAGCTTGTTTAGCAAGCCTTACAAATGCTGATTTATTACTGATAAATGTTTGATTTTTATACCTATTTTATATAACTATATACCCAGGGTCATGAAAAAAATTATCTAGCCAAAAGGGGTTGTGAATGGAAAAGATTAAGAAACTCTACTACAGAACAGCAGAGCCTATGAATTGTAATTCATTGTCTCTTGACAATGGTGGTGGATATTAGTACACTGCCAGCACTGGAATAAGATTCAGCTTCCAGTCAAATCCACTTTTGTAAGTGAAGTGGGAAGCAGGTATAATTTTGTCATTGGCGCCATGCAGAAAAGATTTTACATTAGCCCTGCCTTTTTATATCTTCACATGTCAGCTGATAAAGCAACTGCTCTGTTCACTTATGGTGGCAAACCAAAAAGCAGCCAGCTATCCTTAATAATGAACTACCTTCTGAAGTTTCCAGCATTCTGTCTGGAGGAAGAACAGTTATCCCCCCCCCCCCCCAGGTTAATGGAGGCCTATTGAATATGACATATTTCGGAGAAAAAGACAAGACCAGCACTCTAACAAATGGAAAGTGGGTGAACTTTATTTTCAGACTAAGCAAAATTGGCTATGGTATAGTAGTTGTACGTGTTTGTGCAAAAATAAGGAATGGCAATTTGTTCCCTAGCTGGATCACAGTGAAAGGCTGTTGCCCTGGTTCTGCTCCTGCAAGCTTAGTGGCAACCAAAGCAGGTTTAAGGAATAAGCAGAATTGCTCTGCTGTATAGAACATAGGTTTATGCAAGCTTCAGGGTTATCAGGAAGTTTGAAACAGTGGACGGAATGATGTTGCGCAAAAACACTGGTTTTCCACCCTGCCAGTGCTGCCTATCAACCATGGAAAGAAGAGATGGGTTTGTGAAGCAGAGTAAGTCTGCCCTCTCTCTCCTTTTGTCCTCCTTGTGCTTCCTCTAAGGCAGTATTTTGAAGGTGCCCTCTCCCAGGTTAACTGTCACTAATGCTTAAGCAGGAGGATGCCTTTGTGACAGCAAATGCACCTCTGTGCTGCCTCTGGGATTCATGGATGACTCCACTTAATAATAGCAGGAGGGAGAAAGACAAGGAACTCTGCCTCATCCTGAGCTGGGGTCCATGTCGACGCTGGTCTGGCGTACCACCCTCCGTGTCCTGGCACAGGGCAGGGAACTCATGGTAGTATTTTCTCCAGGTTGGGACTCTTTTGGAGAAGGCAGTTGGATCTTGTGAGGGCTCTCAGGATCTGTCTGTCT